GCAGGTGATGCTGTCCCCACTCCAATCTTCGTCGCCTTCGTCATCCGGTTCCACCAAAGGTACTCGTTATCCCATTTGTAATTCTATTTCCTATCACAGATATTCACCATTGCATCTTTCTTTTGTTGCTCACATTAGTCGAAGTGTAGAACCTTCTTCTTTTGCAGAGGCTCTTCAAGACCCTCATTGGCGCGCAGCTATGGATTCCGAACTTGAGGCACTTTCTTCCAACAATACCTGGACTCTTACTCCGCTTCTTCCCGGCAAGCGTCCCATTGATTGTCGGTGGGTCTACAAAATCAAGCATAATGCTGATGGTTCTATCGAGCGTTACAAAGCTCGTTTAGTGGCCAAAGGATTCACTCAAGCCGAGGGGATTGATTATCATGACATTTTCTCTCCCACCGCCAAAATGATCACAGTTCGCTGTCTACTTGCTCTTGCCGCTGGTCAAGGGTGGTCTCTTCAACAATTTGATGTTCATAATGCCTTTCTTCATGGCGACCTTCAGGAAGAAATTTACATGTCCCCTCCTCCTGGTCTTCGGCGTCAAGGGGAGAACCTTGTATGCCGCCTCAACAAGTCCTTATATGGTCTCAAGCAAGCCTCTCGACAGTGGTTTGCCAAATTCACAGAAGCTATCCTTGCCGCTGGTTTTACTCAGTCCAAAGCAGATTATTCTCTCTTCACCCAAAAGAACGGTACATCCTTCACAGCTTTGTTGATTTACGTTGATGATATTATTATTACGGGCAACAATTTAGATACCATTAATGCTCTTAAACGGTTTCTTCATACTCGCTTTCGTATTAAGGATCTTGGCAATCTGAAATATTTTCTGGGTATTGAAGTTTCTCGTTCCAAAAGAGGACTATGTATTTCACAAAGAAAGTATGCCCTTGAAATAATCAAGGATTGCGGCCTTTTGGGTGCAAAACCAGTAGGATTTCCAATGGAGGAAAACAAACTTTCAGATAAAGGTGAATTACTCAAAGACCCATCTTTGTATCGAAGATTGGTTGGACGGTTGATTTATCTTACCGTTACTAGACCAGACATCACATACTCCGTGCATGTACTTAGCCGTTTTATGCATCAACCGCGTCAACCACATATGGATGCAGCACTTCGAATTGTGCGGTATTTGAAGTCTGCACCAGGTCAGGGCTTATATTTTCAGTCAGATAATAAGTTAACTTTGAGAGCCTTTTGTGATTCGGATTGGGCTGGTTGTCCGATAACTCGACGTTCTACGACTGGGTATTGTATATTCTTTGGGAATTCGTTGATTTCGTGGAGGACTAAGAGGCAGAAAACGGTCTCACTTTCTAGTGCTGAAGCCGAATATAGGGCTATGGCTGGAACATGTTGCGAGCTCATTTGGTTACGGTATTTGTTAACAGATTTGCATGTACCCATTTCAGGACCTGCCATTATGTCTTGTGATAACCAGGCAGCATTGCATATTGCTGCTAATCCTGTCTTTCATGAGAGAACACGCCACATAGAGATGGATTGCCATTTCGTTTGGGACAAGATTTTAGACGGCTCTATAGCTACTCGATATGTCAATTCTTCTCAACAATTGGCAAACATATTTACAAAGGCCTTAGGCAAAGAAAAATTTTCATCCATGTTGTGCAAGTTGGGAGTTCTTGACATCCACTCTCCAACTTGAGGGGGAGTGTTAGAAAGTCATTGTAACTAGATAGGAATGTTTTATTTAATTGATTTGTAATTGATACTTTCTGTTATCGTGTTCCTAGTTTCTAGGTCTTCTTGTTGTACAAGAAAAGGTTTTGTATATATTGAGCATTCTATCAATGAAAGGTTAATTCTGGCTAAATACTATTTTCACACCGGCCGTTCTCCAATTGACAATTTTTCATATGGTATTGATTTATGCATGCAACTGTGGCGGATTGTATTTTTCCCAATTCAGGATTGTTTAATCGATTGACAGTTCTTTGATGGGATTGTTTTTTGATTTTTTTTCCATAGAAATAAACCCTAAATTTAATTTATATAGAAATACCACTGTTGATAAGGATTTTGTTAGTTGTGAGGTGGAATCATCAACAATGGAAGTTGAAGGTTCTTCCTTGGTGGGAAATGGAAACTGGGTTGGACACATTTATGATCCTCCCTTCTTTGCCGCTGTCGAGTGCTGTTTCCTTCATAGTATCCAACAAAAGATTTGTCAACAGAAAATGACCTGCAAAATCAGAATATTAACCAAATAGATACAATCAATCCTTCCCGAATCAAAGAAGTATGAAAGGTTAGCTGAGTTTGTTGATGCATATGCTCCAACGCCGAGAGTTAAAAGGTCTAAAACTAGATTGGCTACAGACTAAACTAGAAGAAACATTCAGTCAATTACAACAGCTTAACCAACAATACTTTTTAAACTGTCAATGGCGTTCTATGATTCATACAGCCGACCCTATTTAGTACGATAAGGGTTGGCTGTTGTGGTTGTTGTTGTTTGTACTTTAAACTGTCAGTTTTACAGAGTAACAAATGCTACATACCTACGTGGTTTGTGGCGAACTGAAGTTCGATCTTGTCCTTCGAAAGCATGAAGGGGGTTCCCATGACTCCCGCATTTTTGTTGTTCACAATTTGGCTTATTTTCGTTTATCTTGTAATTTGGATTTAAATCTTTTGGAACAAACTCCACTGTCTTGTACACTGTTGCTAATTATTGACATAACTTGCTGAGATTGTTTGGCCTTGTGATATTTTCAATAGGTTGGACATCTATGTTTAACAACGGAATTTTGTTCGAAGATGAAATTCCTAAACTTGATACAAGATATCAAACGAAAAGCAATCTTGAATCAAAACAAAAAGGTTACGAGCAGAAAAAAGGAGTTTATTCACTTTGAAAGGATATTGTTCAACTTCTGATTTATAAGTAACAGCATTCTTCGAGTCTATTATTCAAACAACAAACAACCACCGCTAAGCGTTATTCTAGTAAGGAGAGTCCGTTGTATGAATCTTAGAACATGTTGACCCTAAAAACGACATAGCACAAAGAGCACTCCCTTAAGTATTTACATAGAGTTTAAGTTTTGAGAAGATCGTTTAGTCAAATCCATGCTAAAATCCCATAGTTTCTTTGCCATCTCTACGTCTTGACCTTGTGGCCTTGGCTTGGATAGGTTACAGTCCGAGAAATATTCGCCGGTCACCCCCTTGACTTGTGGATGCAGTGCCACATAGCACGTCGTTGCTGCTCCCTGTAATCGACAAAGTTAATAAACAACACGACATTCTACGTTTAAACGACCATTTGGAAGTTCATCATATTTCGAATTATTCAAATTCGCTTGGTATGTTGTTTGCTCTAGAGGTTCAAGCAGATGTAACTTACCTGCTGAACATTTTTAAGCACAGCTCTACCAAGCACATTAACAAGCCCTGCATCAAACCAGAAAACCAAACGTCTGATTATCCGAAACTAAGCAAGTTGATAATGAATATGTAAATTTGAGATTTGTAGATTGACTTCGATTTTGGTTCGGTTTAAACTTTGAACACACACTGAATACAAACCTCCTCGACAAGCGATAGTATGCAGATTATATCGGAATACATTTAAATAAGACTCACATAGTTGGTTTAGTGAAGTGATTTACCGTTAATAATGCTGCCATAACGAAACAGATTGGTAACAATTGCAACAGGGTGAAGCGAGTTTGCAGTTATATCTGCTCCTTCTTCACTCAACATACCATGACTGCCATAAACATAAAACAAGGTAATGCGTGTGTATATCTACATGTAAAAGTACAGACGTATTGGACCAATGCACGCGAGCGGGTATTTTCAGAATCACGATTCTGCTAATTTAACGTTGCTGATTACCTTTAAGCGTCTTGCAAGCTCATTAGCATGCAAAATGTTAGCAAGCTTTGATTGGCCATATGCACGAAAGCTGCTGTACCTGCAGATAGGATTAGACTCATATCAAACTCCCTCCATTCAGCATATGCTATAACCAAGGAAACACACCGAAAACAAATATAATACGCGACTAACTTGTGCAGGAGTACTGATATGACCAAAATCCAATTCCAAACTTTCTTGCATAAGCTCCACCCGCTTTTAATCAAAATTCTATGTGTGACTCATGCACTAACACGTATATAATACTATCTAAATATCTAAAAACTAAGAATTATCTCAACGTTACCCTGCTTGGTCGTTAATTTTATCAAAACGAATTTCTTCAGGATACGGGTTGTGGTGAGCTTCTGAGGACACATTTACGATTCTCCTTTCTTTGCCGCTTTTGCGTGCTGTTTTCTTCATAGTATCCAACAAAAGATTTGTCAAAAGAAAATGACCTGCAAAATCAGTAAAATAACCAAACAGATACAAATCAACTCTCCCGAATCAAAGAATTATGAACAGTTAGCTGAGCTCCAACAGTTAAAAGGTCTAAAACTAAATTGGCTACAGATTAAACTGGAAGAAACATTCAGTCAATTAGAACAACTTAACCCAGGGTCAATCGAGCTCAATTTATAGGGACATGTTAACAATTCAATACTAACCACACCAATACTATTCCACAACTTGCATCTTAACATCATAGTACGACATGTGTAATATTTTATTACAAAATGCTTGAACGAAATCAACGGTAAAATTCTTGGATATCAATTATATTTAATTTAGTCAGGTTTTTGATGCAAGAATTTACATTATTGAGCAAAAAAAAATTAGGACAAAATAGTACGTACATAATTAAAAAAAACATCTATAAAAACAGATAAAATAAAGATTCTTTTTTTGGTTCCCTCTTAAGTTTGATTGAAAATTTCTATTCTTAGTCTGAATATTTTCGATTCTGAAAAATTTTGATGACATCTGAATATACCTATTAGATCCGAAATTTCTCAAATTTTGTACTATATATATACATATCTCTATATACTAAAACCCAATCAGGATGGTACTGTGGATGACCAGTGGGCGGACGATTTTACCCCTCGCTTTATCCTCGCTCTTCCTTTGTGTGGGTTGCTTCGTGCAGTGGAAAGACGATTTGCCCATTCTTTCCATGCGTCCGTCATCGTTCTTAAGGAAGAGTTGCCCGGCTTGCCCACGCGTCCATCATCGCTGGACCTGCTTTCGGCTTCTTCTGTGCTTTTCGCCTTTCTCTCTCACCATTCTCAGCTTTTGCTGTTATGAACCCTGGCTTTCTTTGTCTCGAAAACGCCGGTTTGTCTCGCTCATCATCCTTGCCGTCTCTCTCACAAATTATCAACAACGATGGTCTCTTGCCGGAAAAAGCAGTCTGCAGCTAGAACTTTTTTCGATTTTTCATTCGAATCGATTCCATTTCTTACCCAAAAAAGTTAGCGTTTACTGGTGAGTTTTTTCGCCTTTCTCAACGTGGGTGTTTTATTTTTTATTATTTATTTTTTTTGGTGGTTTAGGATTTGCATATGGTTTTTGTGTTTAAGTTTGATTTTTGTGATTTTGTTTGTAGGCTCGGATCCTCCTCTTCTTCTTCATCCAAACCAGTAGCCCCACCTTCGATTATTACCGACGGAAACATGACATATTAAGGCGGAACAACAAAACTGTAACACTTATAAGAAAGAGCTCCAAACCCGCGAAGAAATCTAATATCTAACTGCATGGTTCTCTCTTATACCTCTTCAACTTCTCTGGTCTTTTCGTAACGAATGTCAAGTGAAAATGTCATCAGTCCATCAATAAGCATCCGAACAACGGCATTTTGTTTCGAAGATGAAATTCCTAAACTTGATACAAGATATCAAACGAAAAGTAAAATCTCGAATCAAAACAACTGGGTTCGAGCAGAAAAAAGGAGTTTATTCACCTTGAAAGGATATTGTTCAACTTCTGAGTTATAAGTCACAGCATTCTTGGAGTCTATTATTCAAACAACAAACCACCACCACTAAGCATGATCCCAGCAAGTGAGATCGGCTATATGAATCTTAGAACGACAACGCAAAGCACATTCTTTTTAGGTCTTTATATAGAGTTTAAGTTTTCAGAAGATCATTTAGTCAAATCCATGCTGAAATCCCATAGTTTCTTTGCCATCTCCGCGTCTTGACCTTGTCGACTTGGCTTGGATAGGTTACTGTCCCGAAAATATTCGCCCGTCATCCCCTCGACTTGTGGATGCAGTGCCACATAGCACGTCGTTGCAGCTCCCTGTAATCGACAAAGTTAATAAACAACACGACATTCTACGTTTGAACGACTATTTGAAAGTTCATCATAATTCGAATTACTCAAACTCGCTTGGTATGTTGTTTGCTCTAGAGGTTCAAGCAGATGTAACTTACCTGCTTAACATTTTTAAGCACAGCTCTACCAAGCACTTTAACAAGCCCTGCATCAAACCAGAAAACCAAACGTCTGATTATCCGAAACTAAGCACGTAGATAATGAATGTGTAAATTTGAGATTTGTAGATAGACGTCAATTTTGGTTCGGTTTAAACTTCAAACATACACTGAACACAAAGCCTCCTCGACAAGTGATAGTACGCAGTTTATATCGGAATTCTACATTTAAATAAGACTCCCATAAGTGATTTACCGTTAACAGCGCTGTTATAACGAAACAGATTGGTAACAATTGTACCAGGGTGAAGTGAGTTTGCAGTTATATCTGCTCCTTCTTCCTGTTGAACAATCACAAATAACGGATTTCAATCAACACACAATGTGTGTTTATCTCTACACATAAAAGTACAGAAGTAGTGGACCCATGTATGCAAGCGGGTATTTTCAGAATCACGATTCTGCTGGTTTAACGTTGCTGATTACCTTTAAGCGTCTTGCAAGCTCATTAGCGTGCAAAATGTTAGCAAGCTTCGATTGGCAATATGCACGAAAGTTGCTGTACCTGCAGATAGGCAGAAGTACTGATATGGCATCAAAATCCAAATCCAAACTTACTTGTTGCATAAGCTCCATCCGTATTTAATCAAAATTTTATGCATGACTGTTGCGGTAACACGTAACTAATAACTAAGAATCATCTCAATGTTACCCTTCTCGGTCGTTAATTTTATCAAAACGAATTCCTTCAGGATACGGGTAGCGGTGACCTTCTGAGGACACATTTACGATTCTCCCTTCTTTGCCGCTTTTGCGTGCTGTTTTCTTCATAGTATCCAACAAAAGATTTGTCAAAAGAAAATGACCTGCAGAATCAGGAACATAACCAAAAAGATACAAATCAACCCCTCCGAATCAAAGAATTATAAACGGTTGGCTGAGTTTATCGATGCATATGCTCCGACACCGACTTTTAAAAGAAGGTCTAAAACTAGATTGGCTACAGTTAAACTGGAAGTAACATTCAGTCGATTAGGACATCTTAACCAACAATACTTTTGAAAAATGTCACTGGCGTTCTAGGATTCATAATGCCGACACCACTAAGTGAAAAATGATTAGTTGTTGTAGTTGGTTTTGCTGTTGTTTGTACTTTAAACTTTCAGTTTTACGGAGTAACAAATGCAACATACCTACATGGTTTGTCGCGAACTGAAGTTCGATCTTGTCTTTAGAAAGCGTGAAAGTGGTTCCCACTCCTGCGTTGTTACTTATGAAAAGACAAGCTATTATTACCGGAGGTGGATTTTATGAACTAAGCCTATTCAAGAACTTGAAACATTTCTGTCCATTACTTACATTAGGATGTTAAGAGGAAGACCAGAGGAATTGAAATCCGAGGCGAATTTCCTAACGGATGATAACGAACTCAGATCCAATTCCATGGCATCAACTTTGGCACTGGGAATTGCCTTCACTATTTGTTCTCTTGCATCTTTACCGGCAGCCATGTTCCTCACTGCCATAACCACATGGGCGCCACGCAGTGCAAGAACGCGTGCAGTTTCGGTGCCAATACCACTAGATGCTCCTGCAACATCAATATGCAGAACCAAAGAGCATGTTCCCATAAGAACAAGGAACAATAGTTGAAGAAAGTATACCATCTGCATATCAAACTTAAAGAAAGAAGCAGCAAATGGAAGTTCCCTCACCTGTAACAATGGCGGTGAGACCAGTGGCATCAATCCCTTCAGTAACTTCTTCTGCTGTGGAAGATGATGAGAACCCAGATGGCCCCTTTCTTCTGAAGCACCACATCTTCTTCTACTCGCTCCCTCTGCACGCAAGGAGATGGGAAAGTCTCGAAGACTCGAAGTGTAATTTATAGTGACGGTTACTTGAAGTGTTCTTTTCTTTTCTCTTTCGTGTCTAATTTTTTGCCACAAATTTGGAAAGGTCAAATTTAATTAGCACAATAATCATCATCTTATTCACTAACTTCTTGTTCACGATTTGACTTATCTGGGTTTTTCTTGTAATTTGGATTTGATTTTTTTGGAGCAAACTCCACCATCGTGTACACTGTTTCTAGTTGTGGACATAGGATTTTTTTTTAACAAACGATATTATTTACACTAAAGGAAATAAAGTGACTTTAGTCTCACAATGAACTAGCAAGAATATGGTTCAAATTCGCCTTTGACGAGAATCGAACCTAATATCTCACTTACAAGCGAAAAGAAATATCACTAGATCGTAGTATACTAGTGGCAGTTGTGGACATAGCTTGTTGAAATTGTTTGGTGGCAGTTGTGGACATAGCTTGTTGAAATTGTTTGGTATCGTATCATTTTCAGTAGGTTGGAATTCTTTATTTCATATTATGTATTTTTAATTTTTTTTTTGTTTTTGAACAATTGATATTATCTACACTAAGGGGAGGGAGTGAGTTTAATCTCACAATGGGCTAGTAATAATGTGGTTCAAATTCGTCTTTGATGAGAATCGAATCTAAGACCTCTCATTTACTAGTGAAGAGGAATATCACTAGACCGTATCATATTAAAAAAAGAAAAATACATATTATCATACGTACTATTTTATCTTGTCTAATATGATTCTACGTCATACACACCTATGATGGCATGCAAATATCACAAAAATTTGGGAAAAAAAATAATTGAATGGTGGATATATAAAAGTTTGATAAATTCCAAAATCATGCAAAAATACAAGAGATCCGAATTATGAGATAAAATCGATTTCGAAATTTTTGATAAATTCCGATTTTCGAATTAGAACTATAATTTGATTTCGAAAATTTTTAAATTAAAATTGGAATTCTTGTTTCCGATCTGATACCACCTAAAATCAGTGCCATGCATGAAATCTATGACAAAAGTGGAGAGTCCGCGAAAATAAAACGAACGAGGAGAAAAATCACCGTGGGCGTGGCCTGTTTTACCAAAACCTCACCCAACCCACGTGATACTGGGCAGGTCACTACCCGACCCACCCAAACGCTAACCGGGCCGATCACCTCCTCCATCCAAGTCCGAAAGGTCCGAAACCCTAACTACCAGCACGTGCGAGGGCGCCTCCTTCTTCGATAGAGTCACGTGCCGGAAACAACCGCACACAGACTCCAAATCGTGATAGCTGGAAGAAGAGAAATGATACAGAAAGAACAGAACAGAGATAGAAACCCTAGCTCCCTCCCCAGTTTTCCCACCCCCAAATTTCCCACCTATCCCAATTTTCCATGCATTTCAGCTCGTGTTTGAGGTACGCTCACCGCTCCTTCTCCAATTGTCAATTTTTCATATGGTATTGATTTTCTGCATGCAACTGTGGCGAATTGTATTTTTCCCAATTCAGGACTGTTTAATCGATTGACGTTTCTTTGATGGGATTGTTTTTTGATTTTTTGTTTCCTTATAAATAAACCCTAAATTTAATTTATATAGAAATACCACTGCTGATAAGGATTTTGTTGGTTGTGAGGTGGAATCATCAACAATGGAAGTTGAAGGTTCTTCCTTGGTGGGAAATGGAAACTGGGTTGGATTCTGAAAACCATTTGGCATGGTTTATAATCTGAATTGTCGTTTATATGTGTCCCGGAATTCGGATTTTCGGTTTCTTGGCCACCATTTGACATGGTTTGTTATATCACTTCTTATTGATGCATATGCTCCGACGCCGAAAGATAAAAAGTCTAAAACTAGATTGGCTACAGACTAAACTAGAAGAAACATTCAGTCAATTAGAACAGCTTCACCAACAATACTTCTTAAACTGTCAATAACGTTCTAGGATTCATACAGCCTACTCTATTTGTTGGTTGTTGTTGTTTGTACTTTAAACTGTCAGTTTTACAGAGTAACAAATGCGACATACCTACGTGGTTTGTGGTGAACTGAAGTTCGATCTTGTCCTTCGAAAGCATGAAGGGGGTTCCCATAACTCCTGCATTGTTACTTATGAAAGGACAAGCTATTATTACCTGAGGTGGATTATCTCTCCATTTCTTACATTAAGATGTTAAGAGGAAGACCGGCGGAATTGAAATCCGATGCGAATTTCCTAACAGATGATAACGAACTCAGATCCAATTCCATGGCATCAACTTTGGCACTGGGGATTGCCTTCACTATTTTTTCTCTTGCATCTTTACCGGCGGCCATGTTCCTCACTGCCATAACCACATGGGCGCCACGCAGTGCAAGAACGCGTGCAGTTTCGGTGCCAATACCACTAGATGCTCCTGCAACATCAATATGCAAAACCAAAGAAAATTTTCCCATAAGAACATGGAATAATAGTTGAAGAAAGTATACCATCTGCATATCAAACTTAAAGAAAGAAGAAGCAAATGGAAGTTCCCTCACGTGTAACAATGGCGGTGAGACCAGTGGCATCAATCCGTTCAGTAACTTTCTCCGCTGTGGAAGATGATGAGAACCCAGATGGTCCTTTTCTTCTGAAGAACCACATCGTCTTCTTCATCTCTCTCTCTCTCTCTCTCCCCCTCTGCACGCAAAGAGATGAGAAAGTCTTGAAGTGTGGTTTAGTGTGGTTTGTAGGGACAGTTTTGGTGAAGTGTTCTTTTCCTTGCCTTGGTGGTGGGTGCCGCGGTGGAGCCTCTTTAGCCCATTTTGTCTTTCGTGTCTAATTTTTTGACACAAAGTTTGGAAATGTCAATTTAATTATCATAACTATCATCATTTTATTCACTAATTTGTTGTTCACGATTTGACTTATTTGGGTTTATCTTCTAATTTGGATTTAAATTTTTTGAGCAAACTCTTTCGTATTGTACACTGTTTCCAGTTATTGACATGGCTTGTTGAAATTGTTTGGTATTGTAATATTTTTAGTATGTTGGAATTCTTTATTTCATATTATGTGTTTTAATTGTACTATTATATATTAAAAGCAAAGAGTACATATAATCATAATATTGCAAAAATTTAGAAAAATAATTCAATAATTGAATGGTGGATATATAAAAATTTGATTATTTCCTGCAAAAATATAGGAGATTCGAATTATGTTTCGAAAATTATGAGAAAATTTTGATTCTGAATTTTTATATAAATTAGAACTATAATTTGATTTTGAAACCTTTTAAGTTGAAATTGAAATGCTTGTTTCCGATCCGATCCGACCTAAAATCAGTGCCATGCATAAAATATAGGGAATTTTAATGAAAAAACTCCTGGTATTGTTCACTTTAACGAAAAGTCATATTTTTATACTAAAAGTCAATCATGGTACTATTCATTTTATCCTTTATTTTGTTCTTATCGTTAAAACTCGTTTTCTTTAAATTATATGACAAATGTGAAGAGTCCATGAAAATAAAACAAATGAGGATAAAAATCACACTGGGCGTGGCCTAGTTTACCAAACCCTCAACCAACCCACGTGATACTGGGCATCTCACAACCCGACCCGCCCAAACGCCGGGCCGATCCCTCCTACAATCCAAAAGTCCGAAACCCTAACTATCAGCACGTGCGAGGGCGCCTCCTTCTTCGATAGAGTCACGTGCCGGAAACAACCGCACGCAGACTCCAAATCGTGATAGCTGGAAGAGAAATGACACAGGAGGAAAAGGAAAACACAGAGAGAACAGAACGGAGATAGAAAGCCTTGCCTTTCAGAAACCCTAGCTCCCTCCCCAGTTTTCCCACCCCCAATTTTCCCACCTCTCCAAATTTCCCTCCCAAATTTTCCATGCATTTCAGCTCGTATTTGAGGTACGCTCACCGCTCTTTCTCCAATTGAAAATTTTCATATGCTATTGATTTATGCATGCAACTTTGGCTAATTGTATTTTTCCCAATTCAGAATTATTTAATCGATTGACTGTTTTTTGATGGGGTTGCTTTTGTTTTTTTTTTTTTTTTTTTAGATAAATAAACCCTAAATTTAATTTATATAGAAATACTACTGTTGATAAGGATTTTGTTAGTTGTGAGGTGGAATCATCAACAATGGAAGTTGAAGATTTTTCCTTGGTGGGAAATGGAAACTGGGTTGGATTCTGAAAACCATTTGGCATGGTTTGTAATCTGAATTGTCGTTTGTATGTGTCCTGGAATTCGGATTTTCGGCTTCCTGGCAACCATTTGACATGGTTTGTTGTATCACTTCTTATTGGGTTCAGCTAACCCAACTGTTTATAAAGGTGTTCTTTTTTTTTTGCTGAATTGCTCAACCAATTGGTTGCATTACACTCTCTCTGTTCGACCTTGTTTCTTATTGGGTCATGGAGATTGAAGAACTCAATAGATTGGCTTCCAAGTTGTCTCCTTTCCGCATTCTGCCCCTTTACTTCTTTTGGCAGACCGAGTACTACATTGAGTTCTGAATGTTGGTTTATGAATATTAAATGCTATTTTGTATTGTATTTAACATTCAATCTGTAATATTTTCGTCTGGTATTGAGTATTGAGCTTTGTGCTGCTAGTGTGAAACTTATTTTTTCTTTCCCATTTATGTGCTCATCAATATTGCTCATGTATTGTAATATTTCTGTTCTTTCTTTCCCATTTATGCACACATAGATATTGAGAAACTCCAGTGAAGTCCCCCCCCCATTTATACTTCCCCCTTTTCTTGTTACAAATTACATTTACCACTGTAAACTTTTATAGTTAAGTTAAAATATTGAAGTTACTGATAACGCTCTTCTTGGAATTTGAGGTTATCATCTCGTTTGTTCCCCAAATCTTATTGTGTTTTACTTTGAATACAGGAAATATATTTGAGAAAGCTCTCTGGATAAGAATGCTAACGCAAATTTTGTTGGGATTCAAGATCGTATCATTTTGGGAAGCACTGATAACTATTTTGTACTTAGTTAATCAAGTCAAGCTTTTGAATAAGGAAAAGGTTCCATTTTCCCTGTAACTCTGTTTGGAAGTGGAGGTGAAAGGTGGTTTTTGGTTCACCTCTTCTGAAAGTTAGTTGCGTGTCACTGTCAAATGTCAGAAGGTGTCATGGCGGTAGTCAAACCTGAGGTATGCTACTTCATTGTCTGATGAATTACAAATGGTAATTTAGGCAAGTTAGATTATTTAGTTTCATTCCATTTGTTTTCACATTTTATGATTTCAGCAGCATATGTATCTTTAAGGGTCCTTTGTCACTTGAGTATGATGGGAAATGAATAGGTATAGTAAAAGAATTAGTTTGTTTCTAGACGAACTCTTGGTGGAATGTAAATGGAGAGTTGTAATTTCTTTGGTAACAAGGGCTGGTGCATAGTGGTCGGAATAAGCAGTGTAGAAATTAAATAGAAGATAGTGGCTAGGACTGTTACACCTGGGGTTATTGGTTCTGTGGGTTGCATATGTGGTAGTTCAAGCTGAGATATAGGTGTATTAGTTGTATATAGGAGTATTAGTTGTGTTTCTCTTTTGACTCCCTCCTGATTTTCCTTATGTTTTGTGCAATTAGATGAAATCTTACATCTGGCTTCAAACTGCTGATGGCTCAATCCAACAAGTAGAAGAAGAGGTTGCCATGTTTTGTCCCATGATTTGCCAAGAAATATTGCAAACAGGAATGGGATCTTCCAAAAACTATGCTATATCACTTCCTCAACGAGTTAATCCTGCCATTTTGGGCTTAATACTCGACTACTGTCGGTTTCATCAAGTACCCGGTCGCTCTAATAAGGTCTGACATATGATTCTAACATGTGTAGTTTCTTTTCTGTTCTTACAGGATATTATTTTCCAATTAACAATCAATGGTGAAAATCTTATGTAGAAAACTTGGAGAAAATACTGCTACCCTTTATGTGGGCAAAAAAGGGTGGTTTCGAAGTTTTTTATCCATCATCATCATGTACATGGTGAAGTCAGAAGTAATTTATATGTTTGATAGTATTGTTATCATGTGTAGGAGCGCAAAACTTTTGATGAGAAATTTATTCGAATGGATACAAAAAAGTTATGTGAGTTGACGTCTGCTGCTGACAGCCTCCAGTTGAAGCCTTTGGTTGATCTTACCAGCCGAGCACTTGCTCGAATTATTGAAGGAAAAACACCCGAGGAGATACGCGAGACATTTCATTTACCGGATGACCTCACAGAGGTTTGTTACTATCAAAAGTTTGTTTTTTACCTTCCATCCATGTTTTTCATGTATATATGGTTCGATCCAGGAGGAGAAGTTGGAACCTCTGAGGAACATAACTGATGATCCGCGTATCCGGCTCCTTAACCGGTTATATGCTAGAAAGAGGAAAGAATTAAAAGAAAGAGAGAAACTGAAGGTGCTTACTTTTACTTGAAGAGTTTGAAGCCTTTACCATATGTTAAATGCGATATCTGTGGTAATTTTATATTTCACAATGTTTATTATCTGAGTTGTGCAAAGTACAAACAAATGTAATTATGTAGTTGGAAGCTTGAAGCATTAAGACCTGTGCATACATGATCGCATTAATAGAAAGTTTATTGTTTTGTTTCAGAGTGTTGAGGCTGAGGAAGAGCATGTCGATGAGCGTTCAGTTGATGATCTTTTGACATTTATAAATGGTGGAAACAGAGGTATGATCCAGAAATTATCTCTCTTCATTCTGGTTTTCTGCCTTTTTTCTTACACATTGATTTGATTTATTTATTGACTTTTTTGCAACTTTTTCGCTGTTTGAAGTTGTAGTATGTTTGGCTCTCAAATTCATAGTAGATAAATTTTCCTGTGTTCCTGTTAGTAAAGTGAGTTTGCTTCAAGGCTAGAATTCTCCGTATCCGCCTGGGAAATGGTGATTTATCTATTCAAAACTTTTTTTTTTCGGGCACAAAGGACCACTCTGTTGAAGGTTATTGGCATCCCTATCTTACCTCCATGGACAAGGAGCACAATATTTTTTGGGGTTTACATACTTTTTGATAGGTCATTCAGTCAGTAGATTCACACATATCATGGTACTTAATTAAGCATTCAAGTTTTTTTTCTCTGTACTGTACCATCGCTTGTCATATGAAAGTTGTATTTGATAGACCCATCTAGTTTTTCGTTATCTACTCTCAAAGCCTACCATAATCTGATACACTCTGCAGAAACAAAGGGGGTTAAGACCAATAAGAATAAAAAGAAAAATCGAAGAAGAAAAGATCATCCAAAAGATTCTTCAACCAATGTAAATGGACATAACAAGGTTGGTACTTCTTTCTCTCGCTCAAGACAGCCACCTATCGGCACTTAAGCGTGTGTATAGTATGCTTGTGAATTTTCCTGCATGTGTCAAAACTTGTTTGTGATTTCTCTTTGTCGTTGTCTACATTTCTAGGACTTGGATGCGCTTTCTTCTGCTTCCCAAGATGGTGACACTATCAACGTTGAGTCTCCGTCTCCCAGTTCTTCAAAGTTGCAAGATTCTACATCTGTTACCTTTTCATCAAAGCTTGACCTTGATGATGGTGATTTGGATGACGATTTAGATCCTGCCATGAAGGAAGAACTTGACAGGTAACAACAATGTCCAGTTAGTTTGTGATGATGAATCAAACTTCTGTTTTTATAAAGTATATTATTCAATCGTATTAGAATGATCACCACCACTAATATTTAACTGTTTATATGAATTATGCTGACCCTTGTCTCAACGTACACAGAAAATTTTCTTTGCCCCTGTTAAATGTCCCCTTCCATGGTTGTACCAATTCTACAGATATTTTATGATTATTGCAAGACTGTTTGTTTCTTACATTCCTTTATGTTTATGCTTTATGTAGGGAAGTGGAGGATTTTGCACGAAGATTAAATTCAGATTGGCCAGAAAGGATGCAGGAAATTTTATCCTTGGGCCAAGAGAGGAAACTTGCACCAATAGATATAAACGGCAATGGCTCTGCACGTAGATATAAAAGTATGTCCCAATACATCCTCTGATATTGAGAGTGATTGAGTGAGTGAGTGTGCGACTAGATTGAGTGAAGATTTGGTTAGACTGAGAGTTACCGGGTGATTTGCAGGTTTGGACAGGAGATAATGATCTACGAGAGAGCACTATTTAATCCGAATGTGCAGCAGCTTGAGTGATTGGAATAGATGCTACCGATGAGGTTTGCTGCTGCAGAAGCTTAGAAGAGAGCAGTGTTTTTGGTGTTGATGGCATGTGAGTACATTTGTTTGTTTTTTCCATCACCAAACGCAATTTTCGTTCTGTGGGCATCTTCTATGGCGAAGAAAGGAAACGAATATATGTCGAAAAAAAGAAGAGGAAGATCCCACAATTGGGAGCATAGTTTTCCTCATTGCCTTGAGCTTATGTTCTCTTTTGTGGTTGTTTATGAGGAGCATACTTTGCTCAGTTTTTTTCCTTGAGCCGCCATTGATGGCGGCCCCCTCCTGTACTTTCTTGAAACGATGCCGAATTTTACAGATGTACCTTTTCTTCTTCGTTTCATATATAGGCCCCATTTGGCTTTTACAGAGTCTTGCAAGAAGTTGTAAGCGCTTTCAGTTGATGTAATGAAATCGAAATGAAAAATAAAGGTTATTTAAAAAGCTTTGTACAATATGGTCGTTTTGAATATGTTGGAAGGCCATATTTAACATTAGGTTCCACGGGGCAGATTCAATGACAGAGAAAAACTTTCATGCATCCGAAAATCGCTTCATGAAATCAGTTTCGAACATGTAAGCTCAAGAATGTGAAACCTTTGAAATAGGTACATGTAAGTTTTTCTCCTTTATGGTAGAAATGAACATTTACTCATCACCAATGCCTTTTCCAAGAATTTGAATATGTTGGAAGGCCATATTTAATCTTGGGTTCCACAGAGCGGATTCGATGATAGGAAAAAACTTTCATGCACCTGTTTAACGAAATTACTTCATGAAATTAGTTTCTCACATGTAATCTCATATATATGAGACATTTGAAGTAAGTGTATGCAAGTTTTTCTCCTTTAATGACAAAAGAAATGAACATTAAGTTTTTCTCCTTTAATGACAAAAGAAATGAACATTACACGTCACCAATGCCTTTTCCAATTTCATGTCATTCACAAGTAGTATTCATATATTTTACGTTGTTCTAATCAAATTTCACATTCTATGAAGATCTTTTATTCATTTATTTTTCTTTGACATTAATAAACGAAAAGGTAAAAAAAAGAAAAAGAAATTAGTGCATTAAAGATCAATAGTCTTTCAGTTTATGGGCAGAGTAATACTTCTTGAAAGCCCTAGGAAGATAGATAGGCAACAAGAACCCAAATAAATTGAAGCACCAAAACCCCATGTTAGCAATAGCAAGTCCTCTCCCAACGTACAATCTTCTTGCAGATCCACCATACTCCTCGTATTCTTTGGAAAACTCACTCTTCAGCCACTCCACAATGGTGAATATCCTCCTGGAATTGTAGAAAACCGGCACGAAAACACGTATGGGCGTCGAGAACCGGTCGGCGAAAGCCATTCCTTCCATGAACACCTGACTTGCGAGGAGAAAAACGTGCGGGGAAGCGGCGCTGATGCCTTCTTTATCGCCTTCGAAAATGCCCTCAAAAATGTAGGCAATGGGGAGCAGAAGGCCGATGATGGCCCCCGTTAGGACGTAGAGGCGGAGGATTTTGTTTTTTGGGTTGAAAACTGTGGGGTCTTTAGAGGAACTGAGGGCGGGGAAAGCAACTTTGGAGATGAAGTTCATGTAGATCATGGAGAAGACAACGAAGGCAAAGTCTTGGGGACTTACCATGCCGCTGGCGGAGAAGACGACGACGACGGCGAGGGCGTTGAGTTGCCGGAAGGAGAACGTACCGCCACCGGCTTTGAGCGGAGAGGCGGTGGCGCCGGAGTGTAAAGATGGGAACGTCTGGTGGGAGGTGAGTTTTGAGGAGGTTTGGTCGTTGTGTTCCTTGAATTCATGTTCTTGTTCTTTGGGGAGACTAATGTCACTGCAGGTTGGACCAACTCCACCTGACATATTTTTGTGTTCTTGTTGTTTAGTGTTAGGGTTTCTTGCAGAGAAAGAAGAGTTGAAGAGAGAGAAAATTGTGAGAGAGTGAAAGAAGGTTAGAGAGAATTAAGAGGAAGAGCAGGGGAGAAGGAAACGTTAGGGTAAAGCATAAGGTGAGGAGGGTGGACAGGTGGCAGTGTAATAGGGGTTTCAGGAAGCTGGTTTTGCAGAGAGGAGAGGGAGTGGACATCATTTTTTCTTAAATACTTTTGTCCAAGTCAAAGTGGCTTTTGCTGTTCTTAAGCTTAGTCTACACTTTTATTGGAGAGTGTTGTTGGAACGAGAAAATCTTCGGCAGGGCAGTCGGATGAGTCGGGTTATATGTCTAAGCCTCTTATAAAACATGATTAACCTGTATTTTGATACATCATACGTTTAACGCATAATAATAAAAAAAAATTTACAATGATTTATAATAATTAACCTGCATTTTGATACATCATACATCGTATACGTGATTAGTTTTTATCAAGTACTGTTTATATTTAATTTTAAATAAAAAAAATTACAATGATTTATGATTACACGATATACGATAAATAGATACAATTAGAAAATGCTCGAGATCTTCACAAAGAGAATTAAGAGAGCATTCTCATTCGTTCTAATGCTTCAGAGTTTGGATACTTGTGCATGTCGTATGGCAACGTGGCTCGTGTAGGAAAACTAAAAGACAAAACTACCCCTTCATTAACTTTGTGACAAGGATGGACTAGTGTCCCTGCATGCATTGACATAACTATGCAACAAGAAATGATCGAATTTAGACGTTATTCAACCCCGAATTAAATAAGAATAATGCTAGATAAATTAAATTCGTAAGTTAAATTTATAAATTAAATTATATAACATTAATAAAAAATAAAAAATAAACATATTAATTAACATTTAAACAATAATTCAATCGTAACTTGTCATATTTAGAATATTACTCCTAAATGAGGTTTCTAAGAAAGTAACTAATCAACGATTATGAATCCGAAACGATGAATTCAAATATTATTGGCACTCAAAAATCTATCATAATTAAAATTATCAAAATTTATAAAGAGAAATGCAAAAAAAACTCATATGCTCTTTATGAATTTTTTGTCCAACTCATATTTTTGACATAATATTAACACGTGCTCTAAAATGATAAGGTGGCAGAAAATCGGTAAAGAATTCCACCTTGTGAGATTCTCCTTAGCATTTCCCTTATAAGGAAAAAAAACTAAGCAAATTAAAATGATATGTTATTGGTACTGTAAAAGAAGGAAAGTACTGAAACCAGTTACTAGAAAATTTAATGAGTTAACAGATAAGAAAGAAAAGAAACGAAAACCTCACTACCAAAGAAACATCTTACAAAGCTTCATGATATCTTCGTGCAAAGACACTTGAAACGTCTTCATTCTTTAACTTCACTGTAAGCCGAGTAATATTTCTTGAAAGCCTTAGGAAGATAAACAGGAAGCAAGCACCCGAAAAGATTAAACGACCAAAACGCCAAGTTAACAACTGCAAGCACTCTCCCAACGTACAGCCTCCTCGCATAGCCACCGTACACTTCATCTTGTTTTGAGAACTCACTTCTAAGCCAATCCACTATGGTAAAAACCCTCTTGGAGTTGTACAAAACTGGCACGAAAATGCGTATCGGAGTGGAAAATCTGTCATCAAAAACCACTCCGTCCATGAAAAGTTGACACGCAAAGAGAAAAACAGGCGGTGTAGCTGCTTTGATCCCTAGCTGGTCGTTCTCGAGAACGCCCTCGAAGATGTAGGCTATTGGGAGGGCAAGGCCGATGAGGACGCCGAGGACGATGTGGAGGCGGAGGAGCTTGTTGTGGGGGTTGAAGAATTGGGGCTCTTGAGAAGAAGAGGGGACGGGGAAAACAAACTTTGAGAGGAAGAAGATGTAGAGGAAGGAGAAGAGAACGAAAACCATGTCCCCGGGGCTGACCATGCGGCTGGCGGAGAGGACAATGATGATGGCGAGGGCGTTGATCTGCCAGAAGGGGAGGACGCCGGATCTTTTGAACTTTGAGGAAGTTGGATCGGTTTTGCTTTGTTTGACGAGCTCATGTTGTTGCCGTTCTTGTTCTTGCTCTTTTGGGAGGGTGATGTCATTGTAAGTTGGACCAACCCCACCTGACATTTTTGCGTCTCTGTGAGAAAAGTTGCTCTTTGCTTATCGTTTAGGACTTGAGATTTTACCTGAAAAAAAAGAGAGATCAAGGAAGAAAGAAAGTTGTGAGCGTTTTCTAAGAGATGAAAGTTGTGAGTGTTTTATTTTCAGGTTATATGTAACTTGTATGGTTGTCTCTTTTTCCGAGCCATTGTTCTTATCTTTTAAGTTTTAAGCTTAGTTTATATGCGAGATTGAGGAGTGTGTCACTTGGAGACCGCAACCGCATGGCATTCGGTTGAGGGGAACAGCCAGTGTTTTCTCCTGCAGTCTACAATATCAGCAGATGCGTGTACACACGTCAACTGGCAGCATTCAAATTTTTATTTTTTTAATATAAGTGATTTTTATTTAAGTTAAGGGTAATACTATAAGGACTAAATTTGTAAACATAATTTTGGAACTAAAGGACATAGAAGTTGATCATAATTGGTTTATTACTTAAACGTTGATAAATGTGTTCATTCTTATTAGTAACACATCATTTAGTTTGCAAATTTAGTTTCCCTATCATTACCCTTACGTTAATATCGAAACTTTGAGAGTAATTTGAACAAGTGAAGTTACATTCATCATATTTTTCATACTACTTTTGTACCATCTCTCTGTAATATAGCAGGGCGGCCAATGTATATGTCATCTCTATTAGTCTTTTGACTTCGACTTTATTAATAATTAAACTTGTTTGGAGATGGTACAAATTTGATATGAAAAAAATGATCTTCATGAGGAAATAAAAAGTTGGATCTAGAATGGATCTCACCTTAATTGTCTCATCTATAGTCCTGAGTAGAAGTTTGATTTCAAACCAATTTAAACAGGAAAAATATGTTAAGCTAATGTGCCTTGAATGATCCACATCTCAAGATCAAGTGCAGATGAGCCCACTGAAGTAGCATTTTTGAATTAGGTATTGAGTTGAACACATACTAAAGCTTCCTCGTCATTGATTAACAAAACTTTCTATTTTTATTACTAGGCATGTAGTGGTAGTTGCCCAAGATTGGTATACTAACAACTTTAGCTTCACATATATGTTCAATCCAACAAACATCTTAGCCTTAATTTGAACTTGCCCAACTATGTTTTAGTACATACTCATGTCTCTCAACTACCAAACTTACACTTCATTCACTATAAACCAAATCCATTGGGAAGGCGCAGGTTAGAATACGTACATTTACATTGAACATATTGAATGTATCACATACACTAAATTCAATTCAAATATCCATCTCCTTAATCAGCTTGTCGTGTTCGTGTTGTTTTCGTCTCAAATATATTATCTTCATGAATTCATTAGTTTAAGAAGTAAAAGTTGTTTATTTTCGTATCAAATCACTTAAGAAGTAAAAGTTGTTTATTTTCCTGTCAAATCCCTCCTCATATCGAATATTAAGAAAAATTCTTGACGTTCTATGCAATTTTCATGCTATGAGATGCTTTCCCAGGATTCTTATCACAGCTTTATATATCTTTATAGAATTTGATCAGTAAAGTTTTCATCTAGTCAAGAAGTGCATATGCTCTTTTTTTCTCCTTTCTTTCTGTTAAAAGCATATGATTTGATGAATAAATGATTTTAGTTCAAACCATAGCTCGGAAACGAGATGGCACTTTTAGTTTGATGGACTTCGGGTGTCACCCTAAATGTGTCCAAAACACGTGCCGAAATACCACATGTAATCATACCAAAAAAAATTTCCTCTAATTAAATATAACACGTGACATATCACCCTGTATTACAGATCTCTTCTTTACGGGGGAGAAATGAGATGGAAGTTGATCAAACTCTTGAAAACCACGGTCGAAGGCTTAAATTAAGCATGTTTGTTGCTTCAACAAATTGCCTTCTTATTTTCATTTTCTCGTCGGAGATGGAAGCGAAGTACTTGGTTTGGATATATGAGAGATATATAGAAGAGTTCAAGATGGATGGTGGAATAGACGAGCCAAAATTCACTTCTACACTTCTACCAACATCGATATTGTTTTCAAGTTGGTAATTACCATCTGCATAATATATTATGTATGAGGTTAATTTATCATAAAAAACTTGACAGGATTTTATCACAAAAAACATCAAAGTACGGCCGACATGGGATTCAATAGAATACATTTACAAGAAAACGATACGCAAAGTGAAAGCTAAAATCCAAAAATTATTTTAACAAAAAAAATCTAAACTCCAAAACACCAAGTTAGCAACGGCAAGTCCTCCTCCAAGAAGCACTCTTCTTTCTGCAGCTGCGTCACAACCACCACCAACACACACTTTGGAGAATTCGTTCCCAACCCAATCCATAAGCGTGAAAATCCTCTTTGCGTTAAAGAAAACCGGCATGAAAACCCTAATCGGCGTCGAAAACCTATCGGAATACGCCACTCCGTCCATAAAAGCTTGACTAGCAAGGAAAAACACGTGCGGGACAGCAGCTTTGATGCCTTCTTGGTCTCCTTCCAAAACCCCGTGAAATATATACGCTATCGGCAGGGCGAGGCCCAACACGGCGCCGAAAGCCGGGCCGGTTTTGACCATTATGCCCTCGGTGTTGAAGACTGGCGGGTCTTTTGAAGGGTCGTCGGATTGAGGCGGGAAGGCGAATTTGCCGAGGAAGAAGATGTAGACAACAGAGAAGAGCACAAAGGCAAAGTCTAGAGGGCTGACCTAGCCGCTGGCGGCGAGGAGTGAGGACCACCATGACGATGAGGGCGTCGAGCTGCCAAAAGGAGATGCGATTCGCCTTGCGGGCGGTCTCCATGGTTTGGCCCCTTTTGGGGTTGAGGTACTTCAGGGAGCTTGCGGGGACGTCGTCGTTTTGTTGCTTGTATACATGTTCTCGTTCTTCTGGGAGGTTGAGGTCTGTGGGATCAGCCATTTTTTCTTGGTTACGTGGAAGTTACTGGAAGCAAAGTAAGAGCTCGATCAAAGTTAAGTAGGGGAGAGAGGGGATGGTGGATTTAGGCATAGAAAGCTGAGACGACAGTGGACACGTGGCAGTCGAGTAGGGATTTGATTTGTATACGTGCGATAATAACCAATGAGTAGACAAACCGCTTGCTTCTTGGATTGTTATCGAATTTTCAGTTTGGACTGGTTACATGTAAATGCGTGTAAGAAGAGATGCCGTGGAGCTGCAACCTTCTGGGAAACGAGCATGGCCCATGGAACTTGGTCATTTGAATAGGCCTTGCAAGCGGATCATGTTTGTTGACAGATCATATTTGTTGTGTTCGTATTATTTTTGTGTCATATCGTTATCTTAACGTATCGTGTCAAATTTATTATCTTAATTAATTCTTAACATGTTCTTAATACGACTAGTTAATAAGTTTTTAATAAGTAATGAGATAACAATCCGATTCATTAATAAGCTGATCTAAAACAGTTTTACTTTCGTGTCATCTCGCGAAACGGATCCCAACAATAGAGGAAATACATTCGATTGGGTAGTCTACACAATCGAATTTGATAAAAAAAAAAAAATCAAATTTGATCAAAATTCTTGTATAATACACCCATTTCAACTTCAAATGTTGTAACCTGAAATGACATCACAAATGGACCTAATAAACAAAATGCCCGTCCAGAAACCGACTCATTTGGTCTGTCGGTCTCACTGACGACGCCATCAAGACGGTACAAAAAAATGCATGGCAAATTGGCAACGAAAACAGAAAAGGACGGCTCAAACCACAAAACCAAATTTATTACACAAATTTTTGACAAACAGAAGAAAATCTCACTAATCAATCTTTGCTATGAAAATGAAAAAAGGACGGAACTATAACAAAAGGAAAAAAAATCTTATCTTCCAAAACTTGTTCTTCGATTTTCCGACAGAAGACCGCTGGTAAAAACTGGACCCCTCTGCTCCTACGAATATAATCACTGGCTAAACTGTGCACATTGTATAACCCCGAAAAAAGAAAAGAAAAACCATCTCTTTACCCTCGATTACTAGGCAACTGCACTATGTTTCGGAATGTATTTAATCTTCACACCCTTATCATGCTTCGTCCTGCGCCTGACTTTAGCAGCTCCAGCAGTTGGCAAATCAAATGCCTCTCCATTTGCAAGCCGGTTTTCTGCATTGCCAAGAATGCTGCGTTTAAACCTCGATGGATGAGTCGCTGCAACTTCACGGTCATCTTGATTTTCTGGGCATCTCGGAGGTTCAGAGTCTTGGAATAGAACCAATTCCACATGATCTGCAGCAACAGCATCCTTCCATCCTGCACAAACAAGACGTGTACTTATTGTATAGTATTTTTAATTAACTTCAACGGGGAGCAGCTTGTACAAAAGATAAAATAGTACAAGATATAATAATGGAGCTGAACTCACTCTGTGCAAGAAAATCTTTTGCCGCATGGCTAGAGAAGCCCAGCCTTCCAGTTTCATCGGGGTGAGTTGAGTCATTCCCGTTTCCAACATTATGGCCATCCACAACACACGATCTTTCACAATTTTCACTGTGAAGGTTTTGGCTGTTGCCCTTTTCAGCTACCACATTTATGTCAGATTCTTTGCTGCCGTTCTGAATTGGCATAGGACCTTTTGTTCCATTCCGGCTCACTGGCCTCCAAATCTTCACTGTTGACCGGTTTGTGCCACTCTGTACCAGATCAGGTTTATGGGTTTTATCCTGAGAATTGTCCTTTGGTACTTGACCCTTCTCCGAAAGACACTCATCGTGAACACCAGCCTGATTATTACTTTCCTGGCAACAATTTCCAAGATTGACTGGTATAGAACCAATCAAAACCTCACGGTTCTTGATTTGATCTGGTTCAGATGCTACTTTCTGCACTCCAGCTTTCAAACTCCTCCCATCATATTCTGGTTTAGGCTTTCGACTCCATACTCTATTGCCACTGGAAGCAGCCCTTGCATCCCTGTGGTTACCATGGTGTTGTGTGGATGAATGCTTCGATGTTTGAGAACCATGACCTCCATGAAATCCATTGGGCACACCCCGCTGCGATTTTGGAGACAACTGCCATCGAGCAGCCGCACGCCGACTACCATTTCCTTGCACCACCCGCCGTTCAACATTTGGTCCACTCACCGAATCAACATGTCCAAAGCTAACTCGAGTCTGAGATTCGGGATCCGCACTTACATCCGTGTTTGAGAGTTGGAATGATTCAAGAGATAAGCAGGCATGATCCAGCATATCCGAACTGGCCGTGTCAGAATCAAATGTTGCTGAAGGACTAGATGTTTCTACGAGTGGCACAGCATCCAGAGTTTCATCAATGTTCTCCTTAACATCGATCTTCTCCCCATGTCCTTGATCCTTTTCCTTCTGTTCTTTCTGCCTAAGCTTCTTCTGCCTTTTCCTTTCCAACAGCTCTGTTTGCCTACAGTTATTCAGAAAATAAGACCAAACAGATTATGCAAATGCAACTGATAAAAAACAATAGGCAACAGCTTAATCAGTCATGCTGGCCTATACTCTACAGAGTGCCGAGTTTAAGGAGGTGAGTTTTTTAAGAAAAAGGTAAAAGGCACCGAAAATCTTCCCACCAACACAATTAAAAAACAGAAATGTGCTGAAAATCAAATAGAAATGCTTGTTTGTACCTTCTTTGAGCAGCTTCTTCTTCCTCCACTAGCAACTTCTGTAACCTCAAAGCTTCCGTATCCTTGTCAGCATGCCAGGCTTTCAACTGAGCAAAGAATCACCACAGGTTTAAACGCGATAAACAGAGTAAAATCAACTATATTTAAACATGGAAAGGAAGCAAGAAAGTTACCAATTTCTGTTCCACCAGGAAGCTTGTACAAGCAACTAAGTTTTTTGATTCAAGGCCAATTTTCCCAGCCTCCCCATCAAAAATATATCTCTGCATTGATATGGCTGTCCCAGACAGAAACGTCATTTCACTTGCATCATCGAGGATAGAAAATAACTCCAGGGAAGATATGGGAAACCTGGAAGGTCTAGCTTGAACAATATCCTGGATAAAAAGAAAAGAATCATAATATCACATCCATATAACAGGCAACGTGGCAGTTCATTATAATAAATACTCATACACAAGAAAAAGAATAATGTCTTACCAGAAGGGCTGAACCGGCCTTCAAATAAATGTGGGGGAAAGGAGAAAATCCCGGTTTCCGTATAAGTGTTGTCAATGCCTTTATAATTGAAGACCCTGGAACTTCCTAGAAAATATATTAAATTAGGAACTCTCCTTTAAAAACTGTTTCTTTCACATGATTGCACTTAAGTAACAATTTAAGAAATAAAACGTAGAAGCTAAATAAAGATGACACCAGCACAAATAATATAGTGACTTTGAAAAAAATGAAGCCCACTAGAAATTAACTGGAGGAAGGGGCAAAGAAAAAATCATGGTAATTCAAAACTACGATCTGTGAGGACAAAAACGCATTTACTGTCCTACCTTAGTTTATGTTTGATGAATCTAAGCACAAGAAGGAAAAAATGTCACTTAATACCATAGGACGGAACATGATAATAACTTATGATGCATGCCACAAAAACAAAGGCAAGTAACAGAAAATACCTCTAAAGTCACATTCTTGAATGATACAGCTTCTTTTGCCTCTTCTGGCGAGAGCTGGACAAAGACCAAATCATGGAAGGGTGAGCACATACACTAGGAAGAAGGTAGCATTAATGTATTCAAAGAATAAATACCTTATCCCAAAATTCACCTAGAAGCTCCCTATTTTTAGAAGAATCCTACAAGATGTAAACAAAATAAGCATTATGAACAAAATGGACAGCAAAAGATGCTCACAGTCGCAACAAGCAGAAAAACAATATAGACAAATTTACAACAGTTAAAAATAGAAGGGAAACCTTGTCAAGCTTTTTCAATCGGTGGTGCACACGTATGTGTCTTCTGTAGTTAATGGATGAGCAAAACTCTCGAGGGCATTTGTCACACTTTTGCATCTGCACTTTAATAGGAGAGTGCAGGGGCCAACCTGGAAGTTCTGCCAGAGTAACGTGTGTCATCAAACACTTAGAAACAAATTACCTTCTTATGACATAATATGTATATTAAAACAGCCATTGGCCTTAGCAGTGGACCAAGAAAGGCAAACCAAATGCAGGATACTCCCCATTAGGTATGGCAGAAATCTCAATCTAATGGTGCACTACTTCTATAATCAAATAAAGTTGTGATTATACGAAATAGTTTCTAGTACCTTGTTGGTCTAAGGCATGAAGTAGCTGAATCCAAGGGACTGGGCTATCCCCGGCCCTTGAGAAAGAAATAGATGGCTCTTTTGCAGCTTGTCTGATGATAGTGTCAAGGGAATCACTTTCCTCCTCTGATTTCATAGCATACAGAGAGTTTGAGGTCGTAGGTTTAGCAATTGACATCTATACACACACAAACTTCATATCAACCAGAGCACCGGGTGTCTCTGTACAAAATATAGGACAAATAAAAACAAGGTGAACATCTAGTGACTAAGTGACATTCAATTGAACTGGATTGAGGCACGAATATGCCGCATCTAAAGTGGATGCAGCAATTGAAAGCAAGCTCAGGGCACAAAAGCATCCTATTTCATCGACATTACAGCTAAATAGATTTATTTCCAAACAAGTTAACGTGTCTAATAAGTCCAACAATGTGCGCTTATCAGGAAACATAAATTACAACATCAATGGACATTGTAGTTTACAGAACAGAATAATTCTCGACCATATTATCAAAGAAGCCACAATCATATTACATGTGTTCTTGTACCGAACTTAGTAATGCAAAAAAGAATTAGAACTTCCACCTAACAAAAGAAATTCAAATAACTTAATTATTTCACCACATAAACAGCTACCTAAAGATCCATTGATTAAACAACGATGAATAGAATGAAATCTGAAGAAAAATCTACCATAAAAGATAGGAAGTAACCAAAAAGGTGAAAACCTACAAAATTCAATATCCTAAACATATTATGAAATACAGATCCACCAGAAATATTGCACAGCGAAAAGTGCCTCTGCCTACGCATCAAACGAAACATTTATCCATATACCTCGTTATAGAAACATAATCATACAACAAAATCGAAGTAAAATCAAGAGTAGGTGAATGAACATATGAGGGGAAATTGAAAAAAGGATAGGAAACTTCAATAAATCTCACAGAATCGGCATGCCGGAACTCAAAATCATAAACATGCAAAATCAAACTTAACCAGAGACGACTGTAAGACTTAGCTACGTTGAAATTACACCATTAACGATTCCAAATACACCACAAATACATACACACAGATATATATAAAATTCGAAATCTCTAGGTTTCCTCTTCTCATTGCACAGATGCAGAGTTCTTACCAGCTATCAAACAGAAATATAATTCTATTGAAAAAAAAAAAAAATTAAGAATACAAAAAGCATGAATTCGGCGAAGCTTGGTAAGGTTTGGAAACACGTGATCTGTGATCGATTTGTGATATATATGTATAAATGTATAGATATATATGTGTGAGAAGAAAGTGAGGCAGTAATCGTTTTACGTACCAGTGGAGGCGCGAGCAGAGATCGGTTGGAGGAGAGTGAGGACGTCGGGCGATCTGCGGGAATCGGAGCAGGCGGGAGGGAGATTTGGAGTGTTTGGCGGGAAGGAAAATCGCCGAGAAAATTCGAGAAAGTGACGAGCCGAAGGGGAACGGAGAGATAGAGTGGGGGAGTCCGTAAGGAGAAAATATAAAGGCGAGAGATGGACGAAGGAAGGGAAAGCCTTCTGTCTCTGTGCAGTAAAAGGGAAAAATAATTAAATAAAACGAAAATAAAAATAAAAATAAAAAAATTTGAGATTACGACTGGAGAGGGCGGTAGGGTTTATCTCACGCGCAGAGGGAGAGAGTGAAGGGGTGGCCTTGGGAATTGAGAGATTGACAGCCCTAAGTTGGTCCCCTGGGAGAGAATTCAGTTCAATATAATACTGGGCTTCGAGCCCATCCACTAAGATTGGGCTTTAGGTTTTTTTATTTGTTTTTTTTTTTTTTTAATACGTCTTTAGATCATCGAGGATGGTGATCTTCACATTCTCGTTTGAAAGATAAGACTTGAGGGCGAGAGATAAATGAGTTATGATTAGATTAGATGTGTTCAGTCCCTCCAATGTAGCCAATATTACGATTCTTTTTTCTTAGGGAAGTGTTATTGGCATTTCAAAAATCACATTCTATAATCCTCACAAGTGTATTTTTCTTTCTAAATATATAAAGTTTGGAGTGTAAAATAAGAAATTTGGAGTGCCAACAACAATTTCATTTTCTTATAGTTTTCAATGTTGTGTTTGAACCTTTTCCTCTATTAAAAAAAAGAAGTATAATTAGACTAAGATTCATGAAATTCGTATGACTTTTTTCTGTCCAGAGGAGTATTGATATATTCCAATTGTATCTGATGTAAAACTTTTTAATCTTCACAGTCTCACACAGAGATATGATCCAAGCCAATTTACCTAGCCTGCCCATGTGTACTTACTTCACTCTTAAGTTTTATTTTTTGGTCAAAACTTCACTCTTAAGTATTGACTCTATTTACTAATAATCTTTTACTATACACAGAAAATAAAATAAACATAAAAAGAATGTGTGGTTATCATTTTTCTTATTTAAAAACACTATTGATGTCACTCAGTATTATGTTATGGTGGTATTTCTCTTCATTTGGAAGCAAGAGGTCTTATGTTCGAAATTCGTGGATAACAAATTCGATATTAAGCTATCCACTATGTAACTTACCTGAACTTCTCCCGCCTTTATTATAAAAATATCAATCTACTCATAAAAAAAATTAACTTTTTTTTCTTAAACGTGAGCATAAGCGCTTTTAGTTGTCGAATCGAAAAGCTCATCACGCAAAATCTAAGCCAACACTAAGCCCAATTGCAACAACCCACATTTAGAGAAAAAACCCAAAATTTTCTGGCCCACCAGAAACTCCCGCGCCAAAACCCAAACTTGTCCTTTTCCATCCACACTTCTTTGACTGGTAGTTCTGAAACTCCCTCTCAGTCACGCACTATTCATGACTCTCTATAATCCTCGTCTTCTCCATGGACCATGGAAAACCCTGCAGAAACACTCCCCGACCCCCAAATCAACGGCCCAGATCCCCCGAACGACCCAGAAACCTCCGAACCCGATCATGTACTTCTCGCCGAGCTCGAGTCCCTCTGCCAGTTGCACCAGAGCCTGCTATCGAAGGCGGCGGCGATGGAGGAAGAGTCTAATAACATCCGGCAGAAGAGAGATGACGCCCTGGATCGCAACGCCGAGCTAAGTAAAGTCGTCGGAGAAATTTCCGGCGAGAGAGACTCTCTTCGCGGCGAAATTCAGAAGCTCGAAGATTTTCTGAGAAAAAAGGAAGACGGGTTTGCTTCCAAATTGGAGGAGGAGTTGAAGACGAAGGAGGCGATTGAAGACGAGGTGCGAGTTTGTCGGGAGACGATTGAAAGGTTGGAGCTTGAGAGAAAAGAGAGAGATGGGTTTTTGATGAAGTGCTTGGATTCGCTCCGATCGACCAAGGAGGGCTTTATCGGAATAATGGACGGCGTCAGCGACGAGAAGGCTGAGAATGGAGCTGAACAAGCTGAGGGGACGGGTGCGGAATCGGAATTCGACCCAGAATGGAGGGCGGTTTGGGAGGAAATTGAGGCGGTTGCGAGGCTGGCGGCTTCGGCGGAAGAGAACGTGAATGGGTATAAAGAGTTGAGGAAGAAGGAGAAGAAGGAGTTGGAGAAAAGCGTGGTGAGTCTGACAGAGGAGAATAGGGATATCAGCAGTTTGCTGAGGGTTGCTCTGGTGGAGAAGGAGGCGGTGGAGAAGAAGTTGAAAGGAAACAGCGAGCAGAAGCAGGTGGCGCTTTTGCAGATTGCGGAGAGGGGTTTGCAGAGAGTTGGGTTTGGGTTTATGATGGGAAGTGGGGGCAATGAGCAGTCGCTGGAGAGTTCCGCCGGAAGTAAATCAGATAGTAGTGACTTTGAAGAGGGGGTTATCAGTCTGGTGAGTTCAATTTTTCGTTGTTTAGGTTGTGCTAATTTATGATTTCTCCCTCTGTTTGATTTTCGTGTTTGATTTTTCGTTGATTTTTCGTATCAGGCATCAACTGTAGAGAAGATAATGAAGAACCTGCGGCTTGAGATCACTCAGCTGAGAAGATCTCTGGAAGAATCTAGGTAATTCGTCATCGAATTGTGAGGATATTTGAATCTGCATTTGTATTTTGGTTTGTTGTGAGGTAGGCCTGGCTATAGAAGATATCGCGTTGGTTCGGTGTTATTCACCTGAATTTGGATTTCGAAATCATGTAAATTATGCAGTTCTTAGTTCTTACGAACGTTGTTTAGTTGAGGGAAACAGTAACTGTTTGAGTATGATTCTCGAAATTATGTGATGAAAACTTGTCACAGTTCAAGTGTTTTACGAATATGAATTTCTGCAAGCACCACTCTAACCATACAGTACTATATATGTTGAGTATCGTTGATTTAGTTGTCGATTACCATGCCAGGTCAGACACTGAGCGCTTACAGAGTCTTACGGAGAAGCAAGCTCAAGAAATTTCGGAAAACATGCAGTACATCAAGGAGTTAGAAGATAGAGAGAGGGCGTTAACTCAAAATGTAATGGCTAGTTGTATAACAAAATCCGTTGTTTGTTTGCTTTGCATTCCTAAAGCGTACTCACCTTCTTGCTGATGTGTTTTCTCGTTTTATGGTTGTAAGGTTGAAGAACTCGTGGTCGAAACAAAGGAAAGTGAAGCAGAGGTTGTTAGATGGAGAGAAGCTTGCGAGCTAGAAGTTGAAGCCGGGAAAACTGAGATAGGAGAATGTGAGAAAGTGGTATGTTTGTATTCCCCGTTGTGAATTGCTTCTGATTGCTTGATGTTTCCCAGTCGTTTACTAGGATTTTGTTCTACGCTTTATTTTCTTATCTGGTGTTCTTTAATTTAGTCTCTCTCACTTTGGTATGTTATTTTGTTAGATCGCCATTCTGAAGCAAGAATTGGAGAAGACAAGGGCGGCTTTGGACGTGTCAAATGGCAAACTGAAGCTGAAAGACGAACTTGCAGCAACCGCTATGGCTGCACAAGCAGCAGCAGAGAGGTCCCTGCAGCTGACCGACAGCAGGACATCAGGACTGCGGAAGCGTATAGAAGAACTATCAAAACAAGTAGAAGAAGCAGAGAGCAGAGAGCGCAGTAACCAAAGGGTGAGACGCATATGTTGGCCATGGCGACCCCTCAAAGCTGCCAACAATGCACAAAACAGGATCGGGCCTGTAAGACGGTTGCTACCAGAGATGCAAGCCTTGCTTCACTCCAGCGGGTGATAAATCAGTTACTTTTCGGTTCAAATCAGTTGTATTTGTTTGAATCAGTTTCTTCGTTTAGTTTTAAGATGTAAATAAACAATTGCTCGAGCACAGTTACAATGTGCAATGTTAAAGTAACTTACCAAGATTTGAAGTTCCTTTCAGCTGGGAACGCTCGTAATCAAGGGAAGAACTAGTTTCCCTTTGGCAACCAAAAGCAGAGTATTTTCAAGACAGATATCCTTAAATTCGCCTTCGAGACACAAGAACCTGAGATTTGGAGCGCGGATGTTTAGAACTAAGCTATCAAAGTATGACAAGGCCAGAATCTAAGTAGAGGGCAACTGGAAATAAGACTTTCAATTTGCATCAAGAGTAACCAAAACCTGATCAAGAATCCACGATTGAGGCTCTTCATACACAAAAATCCTTTATAAGCAGGATTTGGATCCAACTCGCAGCGAAAGAGCTCCAAACGGCTCAACTTTTTACAGTAAAAATGGCACGAGGGCACGCTAAACCACTCACCTTCCCCCAACTTGAGAACCAAGCTTTGATATCATTCCTCGAAAGGAAAAGCATCCATTGATCTATATCGGGGTAGCTCTGCAAGTATGAAGTCGAAAGCTGGAACATGTGAACGGGTCCTTGGTGAAGAAAGAGAGCTCGAGTAACAAAATCTATGAGGCTGTTTTCAACAAGACCTCAGTAATTTGATAGACACTAGCATTTTATGCTAGGTTGGCGAAAACCAACATCCATAGGTTACCCTTAGGATATTATACAACATAGAATCTTTAACGCTTTAAGAGCTTGAACCTCTGACAATTAAAATTGCAAGCTCAAATAAGAATGGTACCATGTCTTTAGTATGTGCACTGTGGAAACAATAGTTCCTGCAAGTCCCGTTTGGCCATCAGCACACATTACAACTCTTCCTGCAAGTCCCGTAGTAATCAGGGGAACCAACCATGAAAACCGGGTTCCTTTGACACTCCCCCATCAAAGCCCACCTGGGACAGTTACTGTCTTCATCGGTGCATTCACTGCTCCCAGAATCGGATGAGATCTTCTCGCCACCAATGGATTTAGCATGAAGGAATTTTGTGGCACACCACATTTCCCCTTCAAGTACAGGGCATCTGGTATGTGGACTGCTCTTGTCCGGTGATGCATTCGGATGAAGAGTGAAAAACAAAATCGCGTTCCCTTTAATGGGTCTCAAGATGCTGCTGCTCCTTCTACAATCAGACCGGACCTTGCTCCTCAGCTGAGAGAGAGTTTCAACCACAGTTAACAATTTAATATACCACAATAAATCACAAACCTATATTGAAACGCGAAATACAATGATAGTTTCTCTCTAACCTGTGATTCGGGGAATAGAATCTCACCACCACGAGTGACATTTGAGAGATACAAAACAACTGTTGCTAATAAAGGCTCGGTTTGTTCCAATGTGGACTTGTTACCGAAGTAGTTGAAATTCTTGTCACCCTCCTCGTTCCCAAAATGGAAAACTTGTAAAGCTCTGCTGTTCTCTGAAGGACAAACACAAGCACTACATGTGTAAGGTAGATCAAGTCAGCCAGTTCAGGAACTGAAGACCATAGCAACAACAGCGAGGGGAGATACCTTTCGGAAGGAAAGTCCAAGCTGAAATTCTTGCCTCAATCCTTGAAACTACCTCGTCCTAACAACCAAAAGACAGTTAATTAGAGAAAGGGTTTTGGAGTATTTGCATCGCCAAACATTAGGGGGCATACAGCAACGAAATGATTAACAAAACACACTTCAACAAAACATGAAATTCTACCTCCATGACCAAGGGAATTTCTAAGCTTTTAAGCAGCCTCATGGTGTTGGTGTTTCCTAACTCATCATATTCGGTCACAGATTTATCTTCTCCCCCGAGTGCCTAGTCGCCAGAATACCAATTTTAGAACTACTAAGCAGCCTTAACCGATTAATATGCTGAAAGTCCAAAAGGATGACATGAGGGATATACCAAAGAAACAAGGTGGTCACACTCCTCATCTGATAGAAAACCTTTATATAAAAACACCCTATTGCAAGAAGGATGACGAAGTTAGATTCTCAAAGCAACAAGACATTACACATTCCCGGAACTGGAAACCTTGCGAAAATCATCATACAAGAAATTCATGAATGTACCTGACCTTGGTTGCCAAGATAGTTGGACAACGTGTGACGGGTCAATTCGGTTAGAATGAACTGAGTGGCCAAAATGTATGACAGTTTCTTGGATGGTTTCCTTACTCCTCAGTTCCTTCCTCCCACTGAAACAAATAGAGAGAGAAAAAACATTCTTCCTTCAGTTTGTAAGAAGCATTATATTCTTATTAAAGAGCGACCTCAAGCCAACAAGGCTTCCCGCTTTGCAAGAGAGAAAAATATTCCTTACTCCAACGACTCGAATCCGTGACCTTTGGTCACAAAGGAGCAACCTTTCTGTTGCACCAAGGCTCAGAATATAATCTTATGCTAGGGTTTTCAGGAATTCATCCCAAAATTTGGATCAAAATCATTAACCCTTAAGCAGAATTAGACAGATAATTAACACTCTGAATTTCAAGCATCTGTGCCCAGAAACCCATCAATTAATGAACGAGAAAACGAGGCTGAATTGTGTTAATTTCAATTAAGAAAGCAATAATTGCGAAATATATTAACAAATCCCTAATTAGCGTTATGGTAAGATTGAATCGCAAATAAAATGGAGCTTGCGGAAAGAAAATTGAGATGAAATTCTTACATTTCGGCAGAAGAGCTGAAGAAGGAAGACGTAACGGAAAGAAGAAGGAAGATCGAGGCAAGGGAGGCCATTGAAGCTGAAGCTCCTCTCCTGCGTCAAATTTATGAGCTAGTTGATCCGAGAGTCTGAGAGGTACTACTTGCCTCAGCTGCACTAAACCCCTTTTTTCTCTTCTTTTCTGTTAAATGTACAACACTTTGAAGCAGTCAATTTCCACTTAAAAATAATAATTTACCAAACAAGATTCCACTATGGAGAAGAATTTTCATGCAACGACATATCGTTTCGTCAGTATCCCAAATTAATTACAGATTGTCACTAGAAAAGTTTAAAGCGAGCAGTAACGTGACCAATTTTAAGTAACGTGACCAATTTTAAATACCGTCACAATGATTGTCAAGCCTTTGTAAGTAAATTTCTCTCTTGGCATTCGTTGTAAATTTAGTACTTTCATATGCGTCCATTTTTGTTCAAACACTTAGACAACTGTATTAATTGTCATTAGATGAATGCAATTTGATTTATGTACAACCAAATCTCAGAATTTAAACTCATTCCAGCTAATTTGGCATCGCAGAAAACCACAACTTTTGGCTCAAGAAAAAAGCACAGAACGAATCAATGAATTCAAATTTATTATTTACTCTATGTTTTGTACCTGAAACAATTACAGTAATGATCAGTCACTACTTATCAAACAATAGTAATAACAACGACAATCACTCCGTACTTGTTCATTCTTTTCTCTCGAAAAACCGCGCTGCGAAGGACTTGCTTTTCTTAGTCGAACCAAACGAAGATTCCCCGCTTGATCCATACGATTGATCTTCCTCGTCCTTCTCGTCAAAAGTTCCGTACGGCGATGGTGAATATGCATGAGGCACGGCCAATGTGACAGCCCTCTGTAATGCAGCCTTGTACTCTTCTGTGTGTTCTTTGGCTAATGTCTCATGCCGCTCCATTCTTTGCTTCGACGGAATCTCCATAATATGATCTTTCTGCAACATTAACTGAAGAGAGGGGAAACACGTACAGAGGTTCAGACACCGGGCAAGGATTTTAAGCTTTAAGATCTACATGAGGCTTGAGCTAAAAACTTACATCCAGAGCCCTTTGGGCTTCTCTCTCTATCCAAATGATGGCGTGGTCGGAAGTGGCATTACAAGAAAGAACGATGTGCTCAAATCTCCCATCCACCGGAACTGCTGTCTTGACAACGGGGGGAAATCTTCCACACCTGCAAACAAAAATATGTAGATGGGAGATCTTTTAACAGCATAACATCAGAAGTTACTCCCTGCTCAGCAATATCTATTAAACTGCTATATCTTTGGTTCAATGTGGATGTCGAAAATCCCTCCAAACACCAGGTATCACTGTATAACATCCCTAATAGAAAGGATACAGTAGTTAATAGGGCAGGATATATGTCTCTAATATACTATGTTTGATTACAATACAACTGAATTTACACATTGCACAACGACCGCACATTGACAGAAGCAAGAACAGAAGTGAAAACTTGTCCTTGGTATGCAGTTAGGTAAGCAGATGATCACAGTTAAGTATTGATCATTAATGCCTGACAATACCTAAAAGGCTTTCTCTCAACAATGTGATAAAGGCGGCCAGGTGCATAGAGCCTCCTTGGATCTTTGAGCATCTTCTCCTCAGGTATACATGTGTCCCTCATGCATCGTAGGCACAATATGCATGGCAAACTGTTAAAGTATCAAATATAACTTTAATCCAGATAAACTCAATCCAAAATTGATGTCATCACCAAACTAATTCTCAAAATATTAGTATGCCTTCAGCTATGAACAAACAATGGTTAAAAACAGTTATCAGAGCCATCTATACCAGAAAAGTGACTTGAAAATGTCTTCCAAGGGTGTAGCAGTCCGCGGTAAGAAGTCATCCTGGTCCGGCATAATGACCACAATCAAATCTAAGAATGTATTGACAGAACCACCACTACTTAAAGATTCTCAAAGTAAATTTCATAGAGGCGGAGTACATCATTTTTCTATTTAGATATGAATGAACAAGCTTCCACACATTGCCAACACAGATAAACATTAGACAAGGAGATTTTGGGATGAAATTTTACACAAATATGAGACAAAAGATGCCAATAAGTATAAAATCTAAGGCTGCAGAAGCATAATAAGATGTATACGGTATACCCATTTAAACTTATTGTACAAAATAAGAACAAAGAGAGTTAGTAAATACTTACCTGAAGCACAACAGAATTGATGACGTCTGCATATCTGACAGCTAAGTTCAATGACATACACCTTGCCGGTGCAATAGCATAGCCCCTAACCCTCTTCCGATCAATGTCCCCCAACCTATCCCTGTTCTGCACTACCACCATGGTTAACAATGCTGCTACACCTGACCCTAGTGAGTGTCCTGCGAAAGTCAAAGTATAATTTGGATACTTCTGCACCAGATCTTTCAAAATTTCACATTCTGCATCCATAACCCATTGAGCAGATTTCAATAGCCCGTTGTGAACATACCCGCCATCAAATTTCCTCTTTCCCAGCTTATTATCCATCAGAACTGCATAGTCACTCTCTCTTGCCAAGTTAAGGCCTCTGAAGGCAAGAACTATATCGGCATGATCGTGATCAAGATACAATATATAAGGAGGAGCTAGACCTCCGGTATCTTCATAAGTCTTTTTCAAGATTAACCAATCTGGGTTAATTCCATACCCACCGGGCGGTTCCCAAAGAGGGCATCGAAGGTCATCTTCGTAAACTGCTAGAATGTAGCGGCAAAGGCGAGGAACAGGCTCGAATTCTTCAGCAGTGGAAAGGCCCCAAGTCTCACTGTCATGACCCGCTGTGTGGAGGCATCGCTTCCACGCCCAACGGGTACATGCCAGACAATAAACACACTCAAGGATAGGACACCCACATAGGATTGACATTGAGTCCTACGGTCTAAACATACTATGACACATCAAAACTCAGAATTCACAAAACACCAATCCCTAAGGACATTTCAGCAGCACATAAACATTCGGATTCTCGCAAACTCAATACAGGTATTCATTGACTAATGTTCAAAAGAAATTTCAGTAGAAGCACATCAAGCACAATGTTATATAATTTGACCCCAAATTACACAAAATTGAAACCAAAGCTGCTATCTTTTCATACCCAGAAGCTGAAACTTGACAAAGAGCTCAATTGGCTCAACTGAGCCTCCACCATTACTGTATTTTGATGCACTGATAAAATCTTCAGCAGCTGAAACGATCACAATTTCGACATCCAGCAAACACCAAAATAAAAGAGGAAAAAGCAGAAAGATGGAAAGTACCCGATACCCAGAAACCAAGATTTCGGTTTCGATCAAATACTGGAGTCTCACGGCAAATACACGAAAATTTTCACAAGATTTGAGAGCATGGAGTTCGTTTTCAGGATGAAATTAAAGCGTGATTTTTGCGTATATTATACAAATTTGATACCATTAAGTTAAATATTCAAAGAAGCAGTGAAAGGACGGTGGTGGTACCTGCAAGTCAATGCCCATTTGGTATTTTATGATTACTTGGAAGGGGGTGGAAACATGAAGAAGGTGCGTGGTTGAGGCCAATCATCACTGTTGGCTTCCATTGGCAGTGGCAGTTGTGTGAATTCAATCGATTTACAGTGGCATTTGTTTCGTTTTATTCACTTTTCCTCTACCGTTCTCGCGTGCACGGTGGTCCATCTACTTTTGAATCTCAGTAGAAGTATTATTTTAACTTCTCAGACATTTTTTATAATTTTCAGTAATCAGGTGGAATGAATTAAAAAATGTTAATAGTTAAAAATAATAAGAATACGTGAGAGGTAATAATATGTGTATGAATAGCATTATCTTAACATATTACGAATTTGTGATGAGAAATAAATAATTATGGCGGTAACACTTCTTTAACCATGTCTGGGTCGAGCTTGATTAGTCTTAAATTCTTAATCAGATTCGTAAAAAAAAAAAAAAAATTTCTTAATTACGTATGAAACAATGTTATTTTTATTATATGTTCTCGTTATTCATGTAAGTTGAACAAGTTAAGAGAAAAAAGATTCCATAGCTTGATTAAATTAAGATATATTCATGACTTCATTTCCAAATTCACGTTAAAAAGCAAACTTAAAACTTTAGTTGCTCATATTATACTACGGTCTAATAGTTCTTTCACTAAACTTCAATAGAGCAGGAAGCAACCGGGGAGTTGGGTCTTTTCGGGTGGAGACATCCAAGCGGATCGGAGTAACCAGGACCTAGAGAAGAAAGGAAGAGTAGCAATGCGATTGTTAATTTCTCACTTTTATGTTAATTTTTTTCACTAGATATATGATAGGATCATTTATACTGTCCTAGCCAACATGACTTTGAAGTGACGGAAAATAAGACGAAATAAAAAAACTAAGAGTAAAATGAACACAACAAATCTTTGATTCAAGGAAAATCTTATTTTCTGGATCTAACCATTCCATTCAAAGTGTAAGGGGGCAATTTTATTACGGTTCAGATATGTGAATGTGTACTTATTACAAAAGACTCCCTAGCTAAGCATCAATGGTATAAATAGACTCTCTATATGAATCCTGATGGATTGTGCCCTTCATCGACAAATTCTCAAAACTGTTTTACATTTCTGACTACTCAACAGCCCGACGTCCAAAATTTACTGTTAAGAGAACGCGGTCATGCCTTAAACTTCTGAGTGAGTTTCCCCACTCCTTCCTTACAATCTTCTGCGACACGCTTGGCACCTTCTTTGACGGCCAAGCTAAACTCCAAGGTGCTTTGCTGCAGCTCTTGGGCCGATCTACTGGCCTTTGAAATGGCGGCGTCTTTTAGTTCTGCAACCCCTTTTCCTGCCTTGGGGATCCACTCCCTCAAATTGGATATGAGCAAGGCTATCTTTTGGATGATCTGATCAATTATATCTCGGGATTTTCCTTTTATATTTGTTGCTAGTGCCTTCAGCTTGTCCAGTAAATTCTCCGCCCTGTTGGCAGTTCCTTCAACCGAGAACTGCTTGCCAGCATCGAGCCATGTAACCTCACCCAAGGCATCTTCTCGGAGGTTGTTGTCAACAACTACCTTGATTCCCTGCCTCTCCCAGCGATCTCTAGCCTCCTCAAGTACTTTAGCATGTTCTCTTGCTCTTTTTGCCTCATCTTCAGCCCAAGCCCTGGATTAAAAAGATTAAAGTCTTAGAATGTTGGGTGAAAAATACGAATTCACTAGATGCCTAACAGATGCATAAGACTTGGAAGCTAAATACCTGGCCATGGACAAGGCCTTCCGTTCAACCTCTAGATCATACTGTAGGCGTGCAATCTCCTGGCTTTCGGTTTCTGCTTCAATCCTAAGTTTGCTAATTCTTTCTTTTTCATAGGATATCTCTACTTTGTTACTCATTACACTCTGCAATTGTTCCTCCACCTCATGCCTTAACTTAGACAGAACTTCCATTTCCGATTCAACAGCTGCATGCTCCTTCATCAAGGCAATATTATCTTCCTCTCTCTTAGACCTTAACCTTTCCAATTCACGTCTTGCTTCTTCAGCCATTTTCTCAACGGCATCAATTTTTTCCCTCTCCAAGGAAAGATCCTTCTCAAAATTTGCATTCACATCCTTTTCAACTTCAGCTACTAAAGCATTATGTGCATCCACAGCCTTTTCTGCTATAGATTCTGCTTCAATACGTGCAAGCTCCTCACTCACCGAGTCAGAATACTCTCCGGTTGCGAGGGCAATAGCAGCCTGGGCTTTTGTTACTGGCTTATCCGGCTGGAAGAGTCTGGTGTAACCTTTAAATCAAAATTGAAAGAAATGTTAACTATCAAACCCGTAAAATTGTGTGAATATTAGAAATACAGTTACGAGCCATGACTCACCAAATGCAAGAGCAATAATACCCTGTTCTCCAGATAGGTCAGCAACAAGTGCAGGACATGCATCTGGATGTATCTTATCAGCGTCTATAAAACCAGAAATTCGGTACAGGACCTGTGCAAATGCACATAACAAGTAGAGAATTAATAATTCAGAATAATAAGTAGAGAATTAGTATTTAGACCTACAAGCAGAAGAGTAGCTCAAAAAGAATAAAACTGAAAACAAGCTTATACTGTTAACAACCTCCTTGTCAGCTTTTGGGAGATATTTTTTCTCTAGGGCCATCTTCCAACTTACAAGATCCTGCCGTGATAGAGGGCTGCAGCAAGGAATTGCACAAAAAAAAAAGGAAAATAAGAAAAACCATTACCTATGTAATTTAGCCTAAATTCTGGAACAAAAAGCAAATCGATGAACATTTAAATGCAAGCAGAGAAACATATTAAACAAATATAGATAAGTTACTAAAAAATACTGCAAGGCCTCACAACTAGAGCAGCTAATTTCCAAAGGTAATGAGACCATGCAACGAAACAAGTACTTGTAAATTTTCAATCATGAACAGTCAGGATAATTGGTTTGGAGGAGATACACCCGGCGTATTTAGAACTAGACCAAAATAATGCCAAGTGATTTCAATGAAACAACAAACTGAAGAGAGCACTACATTACAAGGAATAAAATATACTACCTTTCAGGAGAGAAGTAGAATGGACTGTCATCTTCATCCATGGAAGAACGCATATCCTTTCTTGACAGCTTGCTAGAAATAAGTCCAGCTTCAGCCAAACCTGAATGGATGCAGGGAAACTATAAGCAAACAAAGCCTATCACACTATCACTTACACTACACCACAGAAATCTAACATGCTCAAACCTTGAATGGATGGAAAATCAGGGTCTTCAGGTGTAATATCATCAAATGCAAGCTCAGTAACATTCTCAATATACATAGAAGGATATACTTTAGAGATTGAGTTCCTACAGTTAACACGAAGAAATTATGTCAGTACATGTAGACCTATAATATGCCTCACAAATTTAAAAAGAGACTATATGTTGTGAAGATTTATATCTTGTCATGGAGGATTTTATACCTTGAAAGAGCACTACTTGCAGAAACCAACCAACGAGCATATTCACGTCGTGTACACAAATCACCAGGTTGAACATCAGCCTCTATGACCTGAAACAGTTGTCATATTCAAATTACAGAAAGGAAACTGGCTTAACATCTATGCAACCAAAACCATAAAAAATAATGAGAACAACATCGCAATCTGTGTCGAAGATTTCCAATTCAAAATTTGTCAAACTAAAGGACTCAAATCCAACAATAGGATTGAATGTTCATACAGAGAAATTGTTGTAAAGACTTTGGAACAAGGAAATTAGAAGCAAAATATGACAATACCTTTAACACTTGCAGCGCTGCGAATGCCTGCCCCTGAACCTGATCAACAACGGCAGGAACCAAAACCTTCCCAGGTGGCACCTGTAGAGCTGCAGAAACTACAGTTGGAGCAGGTATGCCAGCAGAAGAGAAGGAATTCCCAGCATTTGGTAATTGTGACTTGTTTCTAGACAACTCACTTTCAATTATGGTATTCGTTTCCAGGGATGAACTAATTCCCTCAGCTAAAACCTGCAGTGTTTTGCTCATTTCAAGGTTTTCTTCGGTTGAAGATGAGGGTACAGTCCCTATGTTATCTTTAGACGATACCTGAGGTTCTAAAATTGTGTTTGACTGTGAAGTAAGTGAAACATCCAGAGCTACAGGTTCATTGTGTTCATGCGCAACGACACTTAAAGAAGAAGACTCAAAAGTGGAAATATGATTTTCACTTCTCCCGGGTATTCCATCCTGGGGTTCAGTGCTAAGGTTTGAATCAGAGGCTTGCAAGTTAGTTGGTTCGACACTGACTAGGTTCCCTTTAAGTTCAGAAGCCAAATCTCCTATACCTACAGTGAGGCTGCTGTCAAAACCCTCAATCTCAGAGGCAACAAATGAATCATTGCCATTATCAGATTCAGACAGATCAAATTTCCTTGTGCATGTTTCAGATTCAACTGATTTGTCATAGGAAGTTGATTCAAGTGGTGAATCTCCTTTATCAGAAGCATTATTGATGGCATTGGCTTCAGTACCTCCGGATGTGTTTTTAAAATCCCCTATATCATAATCATTATCAACTCTAATTTCATTGGGAGACTCATCAATTTCTGGAGATGAAGAAGAATCCTCATTAGTACCTGTCCTTCCTTCCGGACTACTACTGGCATCATTCTTCACATTGCTTTGATCATCTACATCTTCTGCAGTTCTATGATTTTCATCATCATATGTCAATGATCGCTCCTGCTGCGTTGTTAACGGCTCCATCTGTTGTTTTGGGCCTGAATACATCCGCTTACGTTTTAACATATAGCCGAAAACAAGAAATACGTCGACTACAGCTCAAGGCAAACATGTTCCATAAAACACATATCATGCACAATCATAAACAATACAAGATACAAATACTTCCATTTCCATCAACATCATCAAATTTTCAGTCCATGTAATTCAGAGCTTGATTAGTATCGAAAGAAACAAGGCAGCTACTTACTTGAATTGTTTCGCCTTCCCAAAGACAATGCCACAAAAGTAAGCCCCGCAACAAGAACGACTCCGGCAACTCCAGCTCCCACAGTCCCTGAGAGCAAACTATTCCAAAAATGTTAGCAGCCAGACAGAGAATAACTGATATGAAAACGCCAATCTAATACAGTCGAACAATTATTACCTAAAAACCATTTCTTCCTCTGTGAATCCAATGACTCTTCCCCATTATCTGAATTGGACCACCCTTTAAACCCATCAGCATTTGAATTCGACCCGACCCACGAACCCCCATTGCGACGGGGCTCCAATTCAGCCCCGGACCTCTCATTGCCCTGAGCAACGCAGAGCACTCGAGCCCGACGATCCAGCTTCCCCAATCGCCTACGTACGAGAACGGAGGATGCTTTACCGCAATTGCCGCAATTGAAAGCGAAGCGAAGCTGGAGGGAGCTCGGAGAGCAAGTTGCAGTCACTGTCGCCATGGAAATTCACCGCTGCTGGTTTCGGATTGGGGGAAATTACACCCAATTGAAACGCATAGAGAGCGAGAGAGAGAAGCTTCGGTGGGGGAAGTTGAAATTAGGTCTTTTACAAGCTTGAATTTGGGAGAGAGAAGATTGAAATTATTGAATTGCAGAAATTTTAATTTCATTGTCTTTTTATTTATTTTTTTGGGTGGTATTTTGATTTTAGAGAAAATTGTAGATATGTCCCTTAACTTTAACTCAATTGGATGAATGATCCATTAATTAAAAATCAATTATCATTGGTCTCTCAACTCATCAAAACGTGCAACTATGATCCCTCAACTAAAAATTCATTATCATTGGTCCATCAACTTTAATTCAACTGGAGAATAACCCCTTAACTTTAACCCAATTGTAGCAATGATCCTTCTAATATAACTCGTTTTGACAAAAATTTTGACATAATTGACGAAAATGACCATAATTACACACTTTGATGAGTTGAGGGACCTTTATTATATAAATGGTTATTCTAACATAACTTATTTTGCCAAATTTTGACGAAATTGATGAAATAGACTATAGTTACACATTTTGATAAGTTAAGGAACCAATAGTAATAGATTTTTAGTTGAGGGACCATTGCTACAATTTACTCTTGATTTTATTATCTATTGGTGGACATGACGAGGAGGTATTTTTTTTGTTTTGTTTTTGTTTAGTTTTGGAATTTTTGAGATGAAGTGCAATATTCATTTATTAGTAGAAATACGTACATAATCAAGAATAGGGTGCTAACAGTGGGTCTTAATAAAAATCTTGTCTGGGCTTTTAACCCGATCAAAGGAAAAAAGAATATTCTGCACCAAATTAACTATTAAGACTATCCTCCAATAATAAATCAGAAATAACATCATGGGGTTCTTCGAACCAAGAAATTAGGTGATCAATCGTTAGACTCAACTGTGCAAGCCGATTTGCCACTCTGTTCGTCTCTCTTGGTCCGAAAGAAATCTTCCATTGCTTAAACCCTTGAATGATCTGCCGTGTATCAGCAAACAAGTGACCAAAATGACCATGCAAAGCTGTTCCCGCATTCTGAATAACAGCAACCACCATGATAGCATCCCCTTCCACCTGCACCTATTCCTCACTCCAATGTCGAGCAAACATAGCTCCTGCCCGTACAACATCAACCTCTGCATGCATCGCTGAGCTGACTCCAATTTCCCGAACCACCATTGCAGCCATGAAACCTCATGTTGAGTTTCAAACAACAATCCCTATACCCCCATATGAACCATTCTCATCCCAAGCAGCATCAAAGTTACATTTTATCCAACCAAAATCCGGATGTTTCCACTTCTGAACACAAATTCCATTCCTTGAATTCTGACAGCCACGTTTGGGCTTTAAGTTGCACATCCAATGGTGATGCATCCACACTTCCAAAGAAACTCGTTACGGACCTTCCAAACGCTCCATACCAACACAAGAATCAACTCAAAATTGTCTTTAGTTATTGTTTTTGCCATATTGATCAACCACCCACCAAAGCCCTCTTCTACCCTCAGAAACATGCGAATTCCCAATGGACTACCAAACCAAATAGCAGCTGATTGTGGACACTATAACAAAGCATGTTCAACTGTCTCTGCCTCTTTATCACATAACCCACATATATCCTCCGTAAAAGCCTGTCTATTCTTCAAATTCACCTTCATTGGCAATGTGTTCATACACCCACACCAAACACATATTTTGACTTTCTCTGGGACCTTTGCACGCCACAGAGCTTTCCATAGAAATTTTGTCTCCTCATTTAGTGTAGATCCAACCGGTTCATCCCCACCAAGACCATGACATGTTCGTGCCACAAAGTAAGCACTCATAGTTGTAAATACACCCTTAGGCTCTTTAGTCCAAATCATGGGATCCGCCGGATTAAATAAAATCAAAGGGATACTCAAAATCAATCTTGCTTCCTCCTCCATAAACCAATTATGAATTAAACTTGTATTCCAACGCATACCATCGTTGTCCACCATCAAAAAACTTGTTTAGTTTTGGACTTATTTACTTTATTTTTCCTTTTTGAGAAAAATAATTAAATTTGGATTTTTTCAAAAAGTGAGATAATACATAAAAAGTATAATTGATGTATATAATTGTGAAATATTATCTTGTTAGGCTAACTAAAAACATAATGGTGTTTCAAAATGTGGAGTTTAGCATTTATACTTAAAGATGATGGAGGCGACAATGGTGAGAGATGGTGGTGGTGTTGGCGGCAAGCCGCGATGAGCATGGTGGTGGAGGCAACAGGGAGAATGCTAAGAATCAGATGAGCAATGGTGATTGCCTCTTCCTCCCTTTTTTTGAAGGTGGTTGCCTTTCAAATTATCTTATTTTTCGCTAGTGGTAATCATTTGAATGTGCCGTGATAATTTTTGGTGGTTACCTATTGCAAAATCTTTAGTACATTATGTTATGATTCATTGAAAACTTCGCGAATTTAGATTCTTCTACGTAATTTCTATGAGAAAGTCTAAAAAAACCACTCTTGGCTATCTTGAAGAGTACAAAAAAACAAGAAAAAAAAAAAAAACCGTATGATTCTCCATTTGTTATCAAAATAGTTTCTTCACCAAATCTAAGTAGATCATTTGAAGTTGTACCAGTATAAACAGTAAAAAGAAGAAGAGATTTGAGGAGTAACAAGCAAAGTAGCAAATACGGTTCACTCTTACACTGTTGAATTTAACGATTGAACATAGTTTGAAATGCTGAAGAAAAGCAGACTCTCGCGGGAAACCAAAGAATATTTTAGCGCGGGAAAAACAACTTCATACAACAAACTACAACTTAAATACAAAAGCATATAACAAACTGAGGAAATAGGAGCAACTATTTTCAATACTCCTAAAAAAAAGACTTCCTATACAATAAACAACTCATAATTTATTAAAATATAAATAAATAACTCTTAACGAGTAATTTTACACTTACTACATTTTCATACCACATTTGTACTACATTTTTAATGAGAATTTTAATGTAACAAGCACACGACTCGACACACTAAGTGTAATAATACAGTTGGTTGGAAACTCGAAAAAATAAAATCTCACACTTATTTGCCTCTTGGGATTAAGTGGGCTTGCAATGGATTCTTCATCACTACAGTAAACTCCTCTTCCTCAGAGAGGTCCACGCCATCTCCCTCCACAACTCTCCACTCAAATTTCCAAACCAAATTCGCCACAAAATACTCCAGATGCAGCACCGCCAGTCCCAACCCTGGACAGATCCTCCTCCCCACCCCAAACGGCATCATCTTGATCTCCCTGCTCCCCGTCAAGTCGAACCCTTCATCTCCGCCCAAGAACCTCTCCGGCTTGAACGCCATGGGGTCCTCCCACACTTGCGGGTCCCAACCTATATCCGCCACCATGACATTAACACTCCCGTTCTTGGGCACCAAGTGTCCGTCTAAAACCACGTCGTGCGTCACCGCATGCGCCAGCACAAAGTGCGCCGGCGGGTGGCGCCGCAGGCCCTCCAAGATCACGGCTTTCAGATACGGCAGCTTCTGCAGGACCTCCTCCCTCACCTCCTCCTCTGTTTCTCCCACAACCCCTTTAATCTCCGCAAGGAGCTTCTCCTGAACTTCTGGGTACTTCACTACGTTGGCCATGATCCACTGCAGCGCCGTGGAAGTCGTGTCGGTGCCGGCGTTGAGAAACTCCGAGCAGAGGTTGACCATTTCGTCCTCCGAAAGCTTCCGCTTTTCGTTGCCGTCGGGGAGCTGGAGGTCTAGCAGCGTATCAGTATACGACAACACATATTCATCGTCTTTGTCGTCGTCGTCGGTGCTTCTAGCCAGCCTGTCGTTGTTTGATTTCTGTCGTGCCCGAATCAGAGGGACGATCACTTCTCTTTGTTCCTCGAGGATCTTGAAGAATTCCCGCCACCGGTTTTTGAGGAGAATCTTCGTCAATTTCGGTTTGAAATTAAGGATTTTGAACCGCTCGATACTGAAAAGTCGTTGGCGCTCCACGCGCTCGATTTCTTTGACTTGCTCTTCGTTTAATTTGTCTCCGAAGCACATCAGAACCAGGAGGCAGAACATGGCGTATTGGAAATGCTCGATCACCCTGACGCCGCCGCCTTCGGTCTCGGACTGAGACTTGGTTTTGAGGCGGTTGACGAGGATGTCGAGAACCCATTTGCGGGCGTTGCCGTAGGATTTGACGCGGGAAGGGTGGAGGATTTCGGAGGTGAGGTTGCGGCGGAGGAGGCGCCAAGTGGGACCGTAGACGGCGGAGCTGATGTTGTGTTGGTTGCTGCTCATGTACTTGTTGGTGGCCAAGGCCGGTGGGCGGTCAGCGAATACGGCGCCGTTCTGGATGAGGGCCTGGTGGGCGAGGGAGCGGTCGGCGATGAAGACGACGGGTCCGGAGCCGATGTGGAGGGAGATGATGGGCCCGTATTGGACCTGGTGGTTGCGGATGAGGTGCTTGAGCTCCGAAACGGGTTTCCGGAGCCACAAGAAGCTGCCTATGATGGGGATGGAGCGGGGCCCGGGAGGGAGCTTGGGTTTGGTGATGGAACTGGGTAGGAATGGAGAAAGAAGGGGTTTGAAGAGGAAGCAGACGCAGAGGGCTATGGGGACGAGGAACCAGGTTTCCATGGTGAAAAATAAGCAATGAGACTAAGGGCAAATGCTTTTGCTTAATAAATTCTTAATTTTCCATAAATATATAAAGAGATGAATAAAACTTTTTTTTATTTTTTATTCTTATTTTAACAAAGGAGATATATAGGGGAGGGGTATGTTAAGTCTCACAGGCTAGTGATAATGTGATTCAAAACGATATTCGAACTTAATATCTCTCGCTTACAAGTGCAGAGAAATATCACTATATAAGAAAAATTTGATGTCAGTTTTTCGAAATTTGGAGTGTTGTATTTACTGGTGTTTGCTGGAGTACAAATACAAATAGCTGAGTTGATCGGGCAAGGGATCAAAAAGTCAATCACATGTTGCATCGTTGAGAAGCCAAAATGCATAAAATTGTAATTTACCTATTCTGTTTGTCGCATTGTTCCAACTCAATCACATATTGCAAAATGAAAAGGTTAAAATGTGTGACTGATTCGATTCGGATGTTTTGTTTTCTTACGTATGTCTTGCCGTCTTGGTACTAACTGAAGTTAACAAGCTTGGACTTGACAAAAAATAGAGGAACTCCCGATGCCTATCGAAAGATTTCCGTCAAGCATGAACACAATGACAACTTCAGCGGAAAACGTCTGGCATTTAAATTAAAACTCTACTGTGTTCCCTGAAATCCCTGGAAATTAACATCTTGTTTAAATTACAGTTCGTCAAGAAGCATTACAGATTATGTATCTCTACTTAAAGCAAATAAAATTGTGAGTAGAGATACTCCCGAATCTTGTAATAATCCTCACACAAGGGGCCTTCGATCACAATTTGTTGGGTGCCGGAACCACCACCCTACAAAAGAAAAAAAATTATAAATACGCCACTCAGACTTTCCATCCGCAAACCAGAACTCTAGCTATGGAACTCTTAGTACTGAAAAATTGGGTGCTAATACTATTTGCATATCTGTATATGACCAACCTTATGGCTTGCATCCCCAACTTTGCGTAATGTCACATATTCACCGCATCTCAGCACGCCACCAGCAAATTCAGCCTGTCAAGGTCATCAGATCAAGATGGCGGTAAATATAATAGTTCCCTAGAGCTTAACCCTATCTCTGGGCTTCAAAACATGAAGGTGAGAACTTGAGATTACTTCACATAACGAATTTTGGGGGCGAAACAAAGTCCAACAAGTTAAGCAATGAACAGATATGGTACCTGAACACCTTTGTCTGAAAGAAATTGCTTGAAATTAGCCATTTTTAAGTCACCAACGAGGACAGATTCATGTGGTGGAGGTGGGTTTGAGAGGGGTTGTAAAGATAGCATATCATTTTCTGTCTTTCCTGCCTCAGAGTCAACCCAAGCTATTTCGTAATCTCCGACCTGTGTTTGCAATTTAATTCAGAATGGTGAGGACGATGTGATTATGATATAGACAACATAAGGTGCATCTTGACGCTGTCAAGGCTACCTTTTTAAAGAGCACGTTACTCATTAACTTCTCGGACAATTGCACCTGCATTCACATAATGTGAAAATAACTTAATTAGGACTTCTGAGCCACAGATCAACTAATAAATAGATTAGTTTTCTTCTAAGGTTTTACCTTATAAGCGCATAAGTCAGAAGTAACATCAATTGTTTCTTCAATTTGAGGAGCATAAACATGCGGACAAACGTGTTTCAAGCAGTGTTGCTTCAAATGTTCTGTGGCCTCAGCTGTTCCATGAACCAAAACCTCCAGGAAAAAAAAAACATACACTATGCCATAAGGTTGGTTTTATTAAGTGAAAAAACACTTCTGGACAATCAAAGATGATTATTCAAAAGACAGTAATAAATATTCTCGGGCCAACCTGAAAGACTGACCATGAGTAAATTTCAAGAGCTGGTTATATAGATTCAATTGGTAAACTTACAAGTTTTAGAGGAGCCATATGGGAAAGAATTGATTTGATGGATCTTGCATCGGAACGGCCCTCAAAGTCCATATAAATCAATGAACACTTCACTTGAACCTGAATTAGAGAATAAACCAGAATAGAACTTAGTTTCAGTTGACGTCAAGATTGAAAAAACTATTAATTTAGCAGACTTCTACTTACGGTCAATTCGGTTGATACAACTTTTGAAGGCCTTGTGTCAAGTATCAAACTAGCAGAGCCTTCATCAAGTTTTCCATCCATATCACCACCAACCTGAGGCAGATGAAATGTTCATATAGTGAAACATAATGGTATGTACAAATCTCTCTTTAAAAAGATGGCAACAATTTTACGTAGTGGACCAGAGACAAGTTCCTTTCAGAGAGATAAAAAAAAAAATTAATGGCAAGTTCCTTTCAGAGAGATAAAAAAATAAAATTAATGGCAAGCAAATATAGCTAACATGCCCAGGAAAATCACGGAGATCCCACTACTAGTCTTATATACACATCAAGAATCTGACTACGATGGGGAATGCTAAACAATATTCCTCGTCCAACTTTTAACTCTTGATAAGGATGGTTTTCAGAGGACCTTATGTCAACCTTCCAACATCACCTAAGATATGAGACCATTCTTATACTTGTTTTATCCCCCTAGACCGAGTCGGAATCTAAATAGCTCAGACTTAAAAGAATAATAATTAAACTTGGAAGAAACCAAAGAATATGATGATTCATAATAAAAACTTACATGCATGGCTCCATGGTCCATGTCTTCATCCTTTATGACATAATCGTCCGGATTTATAACTTCACCAAAGTCATCCCACTCGGTACTATTCTCATAGAAGGGAAACATAGGGGCAACACTGGTAGAAGGAGGAGTAAATCCATCTATGAAAATGTCCCGGTATCCACTGCCTTGTGGACCTGCTGCTGCAACAAATTATTACAAAAGCTTCTCAGAAGAAAAGAACTTGCATGGAAAGCTTCACTTCAAAGGTCAAAAGAATTAGTAAATGCTTGACCTCATTCAAATAGGACATGCCCATTTAAAGAAAGTTTCTCAAACAGAAAATGTTTTCAAACCTACCATCCGGCAAAGAATGCGTATTACTAGCATCAATGATCATTGGATCACTCGTGTTGACATCAGCCCCATGAGTAGCTTTTGATTCCTCCTCTTTTACAAGACTAGCCTTTAGAGCTTCTTCCCTTCTTATTCTGTTCTGCTCTTCTTCATAAGCAATTAGCTCCTCCCCAACCAAAGGGACCCTTTTGGATATAGTAACCTTAACAGCTTTTGGAGGCGGATCTGCCTGAAGCATGCGAGCTAAACTTCCAAACTACATAAGCAGCTTAAGGTCTCAACATATGGTGCCAATTAATGCAACAAAAAAAAAAAAATATATATATATATAGAATGCTAATCATAACATTTAACGCCTGAAAATGATAGTTATGTCAAGAACCTAGGATACCTGGGCTCGTTCTGTAAAAAGGACAAGATTCTTGGGGTCATTTGCCCATTCTACAAATATATCGTGAGAGAAACCAGCTTCTAAACTGGCCATGGATGCTAAAACAACCTGTATTGGACAGATGTGTCAAAGTCATTCAAACTGGTAGGCAAAATAAAAATAAAATACTCCAAAATGTACAACGGTAAACCTTGGGACCGTCAGGAGCATCGTCAAGTTCACTCTTGTTAACTAGAAGTCTGATTCGCCTGCAAATGTTCGCAAACATACATAGTAAATCGTTCAGAAACAGTAATATTCTACTTAGTGACTCAAAATTTCAAATAGTCATGAGTGAACACACATAGAAAAGACCACTTACTTCAAATTAAAAACATTCTCACGTGTTTTCTCAAAGGACTTTGCTATCGCATCACTCATCCACTCAAGGAAACTTTTTACGTAATCGATTGTGCTAGATGCAACGTATGTTAAAAAGAAGATGGGATAGGTCAAATTTTCCTCTGTCCAACACTGCAATCGATGAGAAGAACCAATATCAAAAAATGCAACATACTTGACAAGATAAAATTGTTGCGGTGTTGTAATAAGGATAGAAAACAGCACTCATCTCCCCTACCGATTCCAATATCTGGACGAGCTCCATAACCCTACCGGCAGTATCAACAGGTAATAGCACATTTCCATCAGATCGTAGAGTCTTCTTTATAGCATCTGAATGATAACCAGAATAAAAAATTGAGTCACAGAATAAAAGAACCTCATTCATTTACATGTACAGATAGTTGTTTGTTCCATACATGTTCTGCAACAGAAAAACCGAAACAATGAAGAGAAACAAACATTTCAATTCCTGGTTCATAAGAGTACTTAAGATACCTGTAAATTCCTTGTCCTTTTGGCGTCTATAAGGCTGATTGTTCAAAGCATTATAGGCATCTGTTATCAGAACAGCAGGGCGTACGAAGGCTGATTGATTAATTCCATTCAAATGCCTGATGAAAATCACAGCAGTAAGCAATTCAAAATCATCATTCCTTATTCCAAAACATCATCTACACATAAAAAATAACCAAACTTCCACTGGTAGTTAAAAAAGAGAGTGAAGAATTACTTCTCTTTTCGATGGTTGAAGTCCACAGCATATATAACATCCTCCCCGTCCTTTGTTATCTTCCAGACGGTACCACCCAAGAGATGCCCAGACACATGGGGTGAAATCACAATTCCCTCTCCTTTGCCTACAAACTATATACATTAATACATTCGTTTTCACTCCACCATTACTTATATTAGTTTATATTATTTATGAATAATGCATAATAATAATTAGGGTTTATTGGCATACCAGAAAGATGGTGATTTTGAGCATATGTTAATCTGGTGAAATTTTGGAATGCAGAATCAATGTCATCCAGTGTAAAAAGGTCAAAGTCTGATACTTGCTGCAAAATTAAACAAAAATTAAATCAAAATTAACCAAAATTAGAAAACCAAATACATACAATCTGTAAATTCGCATAAAATTATGATTTGTGGATTGATTGTGGAGCTACCTTGCGAGAGAGGAACTGATCATACATAGTGAGGAGACCTAATCTGTAAACCGGCTCGGTGGAGAAGACGGGTGCAGAGAGGCCGAGCTGCTTCATGGCGTACGGAAGCGCGCCGAGGTGAAGTGTATCTGGATGCGACAACAATACTGCATCCACCGTCGAAGCTACCCTGCACCACCGCAATTCCACCATTGAAGCTCCGAATAGAATGCAAGTTAGAGATTGAATTGAAGAGGGAGAGAGAGAGAGACCTGGAGAGTGGTTGAAGGAGGGAGGGGTCGAAGTGGTCGTTCCAGCCGCAGTCGATGAGGAAGTTGAAGCCGTCGATTGAGACCAAGTACGACAGCGGATTCTCGTTGTAGACGCCGCACAACGGCGTTACCTGAACTGAAGTTCCCATTCGAATTCTTCTTCGTCTTCTTCTGGGTCTTTCTCTCTCTCTTAATCTCTGCAACTCCAGAGACTGAAAGAAGTAAAGGAGGGGATGGGAAAACAGTTGACGGCGCCGTCTCTCGTTGCTTCTCTCAAATAAAACACGACATGTCGTTTCCCAAACCAAGTGAACTTTTGTTTACTTTTGGGCCTTAATTTGAGAGTATATGATGTCCAATCCAACCCCATAAAAAACAGTGATTGAAAATGAATTTCAAACTCATATATAAACAGCACATTTTTGAGGTGATTTATGAGGCTAGTGGATCATACGATGGTGGATAAAGAAATGCTGAAATTTATATGCGAGTCTTTTCAGCCCCTAAAAGAGTAGATTGTTGTAACGAAACTATCAGTTAGTCCCATTTTTAACAAAAAATGTGGATAAAAAGGTACATTACGTTAGGCCAATTGATAAAGACAAAAGACCAACCCTTTGAACTAGAGTGGGAGCATTTTTGTTATGGTGATTATCACCGGTATATTAAGTTAGTAACTATTGCCAAAGAAATTCAAAATTTTGAGATTTATATGTCGAATAAAGATTAAATCACTCATCCTGCGGTAATCAATGCGGTGGTCATGCTCACCATCACTTAAAGACAGCGAGTACCTTGTAACAACGCTTTGCCTGTCCTAACGACATGTTTTAATTCTTTTGCGGTTTCTAGTTCCGTTGAAGTGTGTTTTTCTCCCTATGTTGTCTGTTGTTCTGTTTAAGCTGTCTTCTCATTTCTCTCCTATTCAGACATCTGCTTGATCAGTTTTACCAAGAAAATATATAATCTCTTTATTTCAAAGATGTTTCTGTAATAAGGTATGACGAGATTGACACGTACATTTCATTCATTAGTTGCCAAAGAAATTGGATCGGAAATATTTGAAATATCAAAATTCGGAAAATAAACATCGATTGCTAATTCCGTATATCGGTTTTGGTTTTTTCAAGTTGGAATAGAGGATTCTCCATTCCAAGGAATGTACAACTTTCATTTTGCTCTGCAAGCAAGCACTGAGCTGAGCGGCCGCACAGATACGAGGATCATACTTCAATCTGGTGAGCCTTATCGTTCATGCTTGGCAAGGGTCCGTCCCATAGCTCCGCTAGTTCCTTCCTTATCCAAGAAATGAAAACAATTGGTCCCAGCGTCGAAGGCACCTACATTCACCAATAAAGCAGGAGTATTAAAAGAGATGGTCAAGACTCAAACCGTGCAATCAAATCTTCTATGAGCTAGAAGCCAACGGAAGCTCTCAGTCGTATCAAAAAAGCACCCTCTAATTTTGTCGAGCACCATAGCTAAGTGTTAAATGTACCATTTACTGAATAAACCAGACCATAAAAGCGGCACTATCCATCGCCTCTCATGGGAGAACAGCAGATAATACAAATCAACTTTAAAAACAACAAAAGAACTTACCAGATAAAGAAGCGCTGGTTGAGGTGAGTGTGTCAAGATGCCAGCTGCTAAAGCCGTAACCAGGCCAATGGCATATCCAGGAAGGGCATACCAAATATATTTGTGCCCCTTTGAGGAATGCATATCTAACAGATTTACCAAATCCTTGCTCCTTCGATGATCAAAACTTAGGACTAATGCCAGTAGCATGGCAGGTATTGCCTGCAATGTGAACAAAAGAAAATATAAATTGCTTGGGGCAAGAGTAACTGCTCCGAGTAGAACATGCATGAGGATCATGTCAAAATAATACGCTAAAGAACAAAGAGAATCTTACAGGCTTGCAATTATGAGAAAGGTAGTCTGTACCAATTAATTTGTAGACATAGAAAATGAACACAAAAAAATGAAGACCCAGACAAATCAAGTAATTAACGATTAGTTTAATGACCAGATCGAATATAATCAACATAACCGAAACATTCAAAAAGTATTAACTAGATTTAGGGACTAACCCACAATGCTTATAACATAATAAATCTTATTCTTAGTCTGGCATGTTAAACTCTAATTAAAAATATGAATGCAGCACGACTTTGATCAGTGCAATAACTTAAAAAGAAATGCCATCATTAGTTATATTAAGTTACAGTAGTTACATTGTTGAAAAGGGATGTCATACCATGTCACCGAGACCAAGCATCATGAAGTCTCTGGCACCTCCAGGAATCTCTCCACCAATTAAGTTCCTGGGAAAGACAATCTTCACAGGCAATTCCAACTTCTTCGTTACCATTTGCAGTCCAGGAAGACTCAAACTATTTGCAACAGTATGAACTGGGTTCGAGGCTTGTTGTGTTGCCACTGATACCATGACATTCGCCCCAAAAAATCTCTCAGAGAAGAAAACCCAGAATATGTCATATACGAATAGGCAGACAAGAAGCATCGCACAAATTTTAATGTTTGGAAGACGGACATGACTCACAAAGGCAACACATATGGAAATGCCCAACAAATTGTTCAATACCCAATGTCCAGAAACAAGCCAAGCAGCAACTGTACCAATGCATAACAGCAATAACAGCGCTTGGATTCGCGTAAATGACTTGGAACAACATCTTGACACATATGGATCAGCAAGACCAAATTGTGACTTCAAATAGGCTACATAAGGAGACATGCAGAAAAATAGGGAGGAGACGGAGGCAACGGCTGTGAATACAGTGAGGAGTTGTGAGACGGAAGTGAACAAGTAGAACATCAAAAGCAAGCTTATAGAGCTCATCACCGGTATCATGAGTGCTTGGGACCTATCTAATGTAATTGATGTTTCAGATAAGTCACGATTTTTCTCCATTTCTTTCCCATAATTTAGAGCACGAAATGCAGATCCAAAAGTCACGCCTACTGCCGTTACAACTAGAGTAATAGGTGCAGGCTCCAGCAAATAAAAAAGCTTCCAGAGAGGCTCCATAACTAATCGACCACACAATTTATTATTCTTGTCTCAAACTTGATTTCAATGCATATAAAGTAACACAAACGGTCAGAGAATTTGGAACCAAAGTTGCAAGCTTTCTCCGTCCGACACTTGAGCAGAGAAACCTATGCAACCTGCCAAACATCAAGGAGAAAAATGTTAAGAGTTTATTGCCAACTTTTCAAGTTGATTCGATTCCTTATTCAAAATCATATCGAGCACACCATATTACATCAATGGGAGAAGGAAGAGATTTTTGACAAGGCGATATTCTATACTACTCTACTCTACAATGAGGGGAATTCGAACTTGGGCGTCGGAGGACGGCCTAACTCACTTCTGCAAAAGATTTAAAAATCTCAAAAACTTGGTTTTGCATCTCTTTCTTACAAAATCCTATCTCAGCTATACTTTGTACCCACAATTGGGCACGTTGAATTGACTATTTTGGAAATTCCGTTAGGACCCTAATCCAATCTCACACAAAAGTATCAAACTTTAACATTTTCTTTTCTAATCTCACACAAAAGTATCAATCTCTAACATTTTCCTACCCTTTTCCCTCAATTTTCTCAGCCACCAAACAAAGGGTAAGACTCAAAATGTCAAATTTTCATTTCCCTTCCTACATTTCCCCATCAAACAAACAACCCCTTATCAAAACCCAAAGGAACAAGCAAGCCTGAGTAAATTTACAAAACCAAGTACCAAATTTTGAGATTTCTTAGCAATTTACATACAATTATAGCTAAAGATCTGAGAAAATTAAGCCAATTGGAATTAGAATTTGGAGTTTATAAAAGTGATTTGTTGAAAGGACTAACCTTGGACTTTGAAGGCTTTGAAAAACCTTTGCTTCCTATCTGGTTAAGCAAAGCAGGTCTCTTTTCTCGGAGCTCTATACAATGGGAAACAACTTTTTCTAGTTTTTCATTTTCGCCCCAACACTTTCACGATTTTCTGAATTTATCCCCCAACAATGGGTTGTATTCTTGATTCTATCTTATACATGGGTCGCAATGTAATTGACTTTATCTCTTCTTATTTTCCCTATTTTATTTGCAATTAATGATGGAATATTTTTAGGAAACTTTAACGAAAAACTCCCGATAGTGTTTACTTTAACGAAAAATCATATTTTTACACCAAAAAGTCATTCATGGTACTATTTATTTTACACTTTATTTTGTTTTTATCGTTAAAACTCAAAGTTTTAAAACCATTTTCATTAGTTTTCTTATTTTTATGTTGTCATCTTTGGGTTGGGTTTGCTGCGTTACAACTTGCAACGGAGTAATTGCTGGATTGGCATATTGGGCCTCGTTTGGACTCATGGAATTTGAAAAAAAAAAAAAAGTTTATTATATTTCTAGGGAGCGTTGTCAAACAAAAAAAATTCAAATATATGAGTAAATATTCTTAACCATCTAAATTATAAATTTCTTGTAACAAAGTTTGGAAAAAAAATGAAGAAATAACTTTCGTATAGTATTTACAGGTATAAAAGAAAACACATACATTTTATACAATAATTTTAAAAAGTGAACTTTATAACAGCTAGATTGTATATTTTTTTCCCTTAGCTTATAACATCGACTATATTTCAGATAATTGAATCAAAAGCTTTATGTTAGTGCAAATGTAACATCCCACATCGCCCAGGAGAGTGATCCTTAAATGTATATTCTCATCCTTACCTAGCACAAGGCCTTTTGGGAGCTCACTGGCTTTGGGTTCCGTAGGAACTCCGAAGTTAAGCGAGAAAGGGGCTAGAGCAATCCCATGATGGGTGACCCACTGGGAAGTTGCTCGTGAGTTCCCAAAAACAAAACCGTGAGGGAATGGTAAGCCCAAAGCGGACAATATCGTGCTACGGTGGTGGAGCGGGCCCGAGAAGTGGTCTCGCCCGGGCCGGGATGTGACAAATTGGTATCAGAGCCTAACCCTGGTCGTGGTGTGCCGACGAGGACGTTGGGCCCCTAATGGGGGTGGATTGTAACATCCCACATCGCCTAAGGGAGTGATCCTTAAATGTATAGTCTCATCCCTACCTAGCACGAGGCCTTTTGAGAGCTCACTGGCTTCGGGTTCCGTAGGAACTCCAAAGTTAAGCGAGAAGGGGGCTAGAGTAATCCCATGATGGGTGACCCACTGGGAAGTTGCTCGTGAGTTCCCAAAAACAAAACCGTGAGGGAATGATAAGCCCAAAGCGGACAATATCGTACTATGGTGGTGGAACGGGCCCGGGAAGTGATTTCCCCCGGGCGGGGATGTGACAGCAAATATGTCACATACTAATTAAAAGCACAACATTAAGGAAAATTAAATGCAAAGATGGAGCATGTAAGTTGCAAATCGCATGTCAAGTCTTCATTAATTATGATAATTGAGGCTTGATAGATGATAGATCTATCGTCTTAGAAACTTAGATATAACAGCCTTGCAAGTAGCAACCCAAACAAGAGGACCCAATAGATTATGGAAATTATTCATGTGTTCCCAAATTTATCCATTTAAACTTTTTTTGTTTTTTTTATATTACTATCATAGGAAAGTGGAGAGAATTGGAAACTATCACACTAATTTAGAAGAAGAGGGGAAGGAAAGAGTTTCGAACCCGAGATGCACGAGTGAAAACCCAACAACCTGCTATCTACTAGGATACTGAACCACATGCATACAACTTAACTTTTTAACTCACAATAAAAATATGTCATGTAATCAATAATATCAACGTGGTTTTCCTCGTGTCAATTTTAAGTGATTATCAATACTTTGTTTATCTTTTCAATAAGGACAAGGATAAAAATTGGAATTTTGAACCATCCCTTGTAACAAGTTCAATAGAGTAGGAACATAGTTTTACTTAGATCAAATAATTATTGGATGCCAACTATAAATAACGAGACTCGAACTTGAATCGAATGCAGAAGTAAACTATGTTGTAATCAACTTTGACCGCAAATTCTGGCATGCAAACTTGAAAACCACGTATTGGCCCCCAAAATTCAAAGTGGTTAATCACCTAACTTACCTCTAACCAACCCAAAGATTAAGACCCCATTTACAACCAACCCACAATCTCACCGTTCTTAATTGGGTTTTGGGTTGACCATCCACGGTCGAAACCATAATGCATATAACCAGTAGGGCCCATCATACAAATAAGTCGGGCGGGTGGGGCCCACAAACCCAATCCAACTTGAGAATTGTGACCCACCAGGGCCACCACCTCCACCACCCATCATCCTCCTCCATCGGCTTATAAAACCCACCACCTCCACGGCTCCACCATTAACACGACAAACACCTCCATCTCCTTCAAGCCTCGATTTTCTTCTCTCTTTTTGGTAACAAATCTGCACAAGAAAGCTAGTCATTACATACAGTGAGTTTCACGTATGGCTGTGAAAGATCGACGTTAGAGAAGAGAAAGCGTATAAAGAAGACGATGATGCATGTCAATGCCGTCCTGGTCGCCATCACGACTGCTCTGCTAGCGTGCGTTCCTCGGCGCATGTACGCCGAGGAGCGGCGCCTCACGGTGAAGATGACCATTGTCCAACGCGGTTCCGCTCTCGGAGCTTGTAAGTTTCTTCTCATTAACTCAACAACTTGTAATTATGTAATAAAAGAAAGATTAAAAATGGTTTTCTGTTTGTTTATTTATTTAGTTTGCTTGGATGGGAGTTTGCCTGCGTATCATCTGCACAGAGGATTCGGGGCCGGAGCAAGAAACTGGCTTTTGCAGTTTGAGGTAATTCTCTTCTTTTTTTTTTTCTTTTTTTTTTTTTATAATTATTTTGAAAATATAAAAGCCTGTCCGCGAGGCAAAAGTGCTTTCTTTCTATTCAGTTGCATCTCGCCACATGTCTAGTTATTTGACGGATGCATCTTAAGAATAATTGTCAATTATAACATTATCTTAAGGGGATCAGGATTCGAACATTAGGAGTCATGTTAAAAAAAAGTATTTTAGATGGAGTGCAAATAAAAAATTCAGTTTATTTACTAAAGTATTTTGTCAAGCATTTGATGAGCTTCTTGTCGTCTGCTAATCATATTGTGCACATATCGACATATACCGAAGTAATCTGATGAGTGATATAAAGAAAATTCATCGGAGTGTTGTCGACATAACCTATTGAGATATGCCTAATATGCATTACATTAAGCACTTAGTAGGTAAAAAGGAACTCATAATAAATATTTGGAAGGCCTTTACATATATATTACTAAACTTCGGGTGGTCCGGCTGTCTGGGATCACCTTAGTCTCAATGTCCATCCACCCCTAACCTCGAGTCAATACTTTATAATGGTTAACGTCTAATGATATTTAAAGTTAATACGTTTAATAATCAAATTGAAATAATGCTACAGTAATTAAAAGTTAAAGTCTAGTTATTGCATGGATGCATGTTATAAATTGTCACTATAATATCTTCTCAAGCAAATAACACACCGTGGTTAGCATCTCGTAATATTTAAAGCATCTCGTAATAGTTAAAGTTAATAAATACAATTAAGAATAATCGACTTAAGATACTGTTATACTACATCGCAAAGTAAGTAGTTACTTTTAAATCAATTGACTTTTGTCCACAAGTCGTGACTCACCAGAGTCACCCGTGACTTCCACTTGTGCTTGGACTTCCGATTCCGAGTACAATTGGGAAACCAAACCAATACGACACCGTTGTTTTTTACTTTGTCTTGTGTCTTGTGCCCGTTACTATATACAAATTTGCATTATTACCGTGGGCGGCTTCGGCCCAGCCGCACTGCTGTCGTGGCATCATCTAATTGGCTGAAAGCAACAATTGATTTTGTCCGGTTTGCCAATTCGGGAACAGATCGCAGTCATGACTTTTTTTTATTTTTTATTTTTTATGAAAATCTAATACAAAATTAAAGTTATTGAGTTGAGATTAGTAATTAATTAATTAAGAGTGTATTCAGTTCGATTCTTTCTTCTGCACTACTTATTATAAAGTGTGTCGAAAACACGATCCGATATATTAAGTGTAATTTTTTTTTTAATTTTATAATTATTTGTATTATTACACTTAATCTATCGGATCGTGTTCCTGAAATCTCTCTTCGTTGGGGCCTCTACTTTGTGACATTTGTGTTCACTTGTGAACTACGCAATGTTGATCAATTTTAAACCAGTTAGGTAAGTTGGTGTGTGGGGTTCCAATTCCAAAGGGGAAACTTTATGATCAAGCTTTAAGTTTTGCATTCGTAATCATAAATCATGATGTTAAATCATAGCCGTTTGATTAATTGAATTAGGGTGGAGGGTGGTGCAATGATGTAAAATCATGCTCTGACAGAGCCAGCACGCGAAGAGGATCAACACGTTATATGACCAAGTGGGAAGTCTTTTCTGGAATCCTCAGCAATAATGCATCTCTTAATCCAGGTAATTAAATCATCTGCAATACGTAGTCATTTATTTAACTTGACAAAAACCTGGGTATGAATGTCCATAATCACAAAAGACGCATTTCACGAAAGCACAAGACTTTTATATTTTAGTTTCATTCTACTACACGTTAGTCTTACTTAGTGTGAAATTGTCATAATAGAACAACTTAACTTAAGTTTCTCCAAGTTTAACTCATATCTAGTGATCTCACCGAGACACTTAATACAAGAGATGTCATAGTCAAAGCATTGAGATCCACTTCAGATCTCTGTGTTCAGAGCCTACATATTGAAAAATTCAGATCACTCAATCATGTGACCCCATTAGTCATCTTACTGGTTCACTTCACAAAATTTTGAACGCTCTGAATATCTCTCTTTCTTAATCTGGATCTCTCAAACTCTGGACACAAATATCCAAAGTAAATCTCATTCTATAGTCACACAACCTTGCCGAAATTTCCTTCCATTTACTCATACGAGTCAATCTTGTGGTCCATACATGCCATCACATTTCCGCATGCTTTAGCCCATACTTTGCTTTCATAATTTAGGTCTATATGTTTTGACATACAGCTAAGAGAGATTTGTTTCTCTGCATTTAACGATTTCATAATTTACGACTAATTCCAAATGCTGTTGAATTACTTAGATCTTTAATCATAAGAAAAGAAAAGATTAGCACTTTTGTTAATCATGCATTTGAAGAATGTGGGTCTTGTGATCTAGTGGGAAGTTGTGCATGGCGGACAGTCCATGTTTCCTTTGCATTTTCTGTTGTCCCTTCACGTGAAAAAAATAGAGATGACAGCTATTTTCTCAGAGTGGGAGCTTCATCTAGCTGACCATCCTTCCAGGTCCAGCCTTTCCATTTTTGTCATTTTTTCTTGCTGTTGGTCGTCCAGTTGAAAGTTCTGAATCTACTTGGGTAGGCAAAACTACAGTAACTCAAAGATGTTGACCTCTTAGTCCAGTCCTTGATGGCATAGTTTCAACCACTTAATCTATCTTATCTTCCAATACGTTCAATTTGCAATTTGTAGCATTGTATACGTTGTTGACTCGTTATCTGACAACTTAAGTTTTCAGGGTTAGTAGTTGTGTGCCTTCTTTGAGCACGGAATTGAGTTTGATTTACGTTCTTTATTTCTTTGTTGGTCTCAATGTTTTAAAAAGCAAACGTGAAGCCAAGGCGTTTCACGGATAAGCCCGCTTAGGCGATAGCCTCACAACCTAAAATTATTAATATATAGTCTAGCTGAAGGGTATGCCATATAGTCTAGTTGAACTTGGAGGCATGTCATGTAGTATGGTTGAACTTGAACTTGGAGGTATGTCATGTAGTATGGTTGAACTTGAACTTGGAGGGTATGTCATATAGGCTAGGTGAACTTGAACTTGGGCAGTTTTTTTTAGAGGATAAAAAAAAGCCCAGTTGAACGCATTAGGTCCACCTCAGTCGCCTATGCATGCCTCGACCACGTCTAGGTGAGCTTAGGCCTACTCCCGTTGGGTAGAGGCGTTTTCATCACCGGCCCACCTCCAAAGCCGCCTAGGCACCCCTTAGGGCTCGTTTTTTTAAATATTGGCTGGTCTGTATTGTGGTCACACCTATACGATTGTCTCTCTTTTCCTATGGGTTTAACTGATTTCTACATGAGAAAGGTGTAAGTTTGATACATATTGTTGGCCTATTATTTGAAAACTTAAAGGGTCATTTGATAACTATTTCGTTTTCAAATTTAGTTTTCACTTTTCACTTTTTTGAAAACTACAAACTGAAATCTTATTTGGTAACTACTTTCAATTTCAATTAGCAAACTGAAAACTGCAAGTAGTTACCAAACAAGATTTCAATTTTTTTTAAAACGAAATGGCTATCAAACAACCTCTAAGCTTTAGACTAGTGGTTGTGAGTCTTTTTTTGAATGGTGTTGAGTTTGATTCTTCTTTCCTACTCATTTGTTGGTTTGCACGGTGCAATAGTGGGCTAAAAGCCTAAACCTACATGTTTGTCTCTCTTTCTTATTGGTCTGCATCTACATGCCAAGTGCGGAGCGAATATGTAAGCTTGATATGTGAATTATTTGATAGCTTTTATTGGCTAACATAATTATTTAGAGCTCGTTTATAAATGCTTTTAAAATGATTGAAAACGTTTTCGGTGAAAATCATGCACTCAAATCATTTGGGATATTGTTATATTCTTAAATTTAACCGTTATGTTCTAATATTGAACCAGATTTTTACAACTGGAACCGAGTGAAGCTTAGATATTGTGATGGAGCTTCATTTGCTGGAGATGCAGTAGTTAATAATGGGGTATTTCTCTCTAAACAAATATTTCCTTCCTACATTCTTAACCTTCACACTTTTATCAACAATATTTTCATATCAATGTCGCCCCTGCTGTAAAATTCAACGTTATATACTTAATTAACCGATCATTTCTTTGCATGTAATGCGCGTGTGAAATGAATGTGGCAGACATCATTGCTCTATTTTAGAGGGCAAAAGATTTGGGAAGCAATCATCCTTGATCTTCTGCCGAAAGGTTTAGGACAAGCACGTAAGGTAACGCGGATCAAAGAAATTGCGTAGACATTTTCGATGCGAGCTTAGACATTCCAATTCAACTACTCATTGCATTCCATTTGTTTTCTAGGCTTTGCTATCAGGTTGTTCTGCTGGGGGTTTAGCATCGTTTTTGCACTGTAACAGCTTCACTAACTACTTACCAAGCAATACCAGTGTGAAATGCTTGAGTGACGCCGGATTCTTTCTCGATGAGTAAGTTCATTACGTTCATTTTCCAACTCCAAAGTAAATGTCAGTTAATTAATGTGTATATCTTGAAATTTCGGTGTCGCATTTTGTTGCAGACGAGATATAACTTTGAACCACACCATGAGGTATTTCGTAAAAGATCTTGTGACTCTACAGGTAACATGTTCTAATGCTGAAACAAACCAAATTTTTCTCGATTATATATTTCGCATGTTCTTATAAGTCTATGGATGGCAGGGAGTAGAGAAGAATCTGGACGAGAACTGCACGAAGAATTCCATTTATCCCGAGCTGGTAAGATTTTCGTAGCATCCATCCCTGAACTCTTAGCCGATTAATGCATGTCTTTGGTTTGTAATCACATGTTATTTTAACATTTGTCTTGCCTTTGATGCAGTGTTTCTTTCCACAGTATGCATTGAAGTTCATCACAACACCTTTCTTCATATTGAACTCAGCCTATGATGTTTACCAGGTACGAACTATTGAGTAGGCGTAAACCTAGCTGCAACGTCTTTCATACCCTTTTTCTCCCTGCATCTCTTGTCGCGTGATGCACGTAATTAGTCCTTCTTAATCAATAGACCTTGTAATGTCCACAGTTCCATCACATATTGGTGCCGGCCTCAGCAGATCCGCACGGACATTGGAACCGTTGCAAATTGAATCCGGCAGCGTGCAACCCTGAACAGTTAAATACATTGCAAGGTTCTTCAATTCTTTCCTTTGTCGTTCCTTCCAGTTGCATGATTTTCATTAACCAACAAGATTATGAACGCGCGTCATCTGAATCCTCGTTTTTTTTTTTTTTTTTCCTTTCTTCAATTGTCAGAATACAGGCGCGATATGATCGTTGCAATGGGACTGTTCTACAAATATTCGAGAAGCGGAGGGATTTTCCTCAATTCATGTTTTGCTCATTGCCAAAGTGAGTCTCAGGACACATGGTTTGGTGATGATTCTCCAAGGGTACATAATAAGGTAATATTGTTAATATTGCTATAGTTTAAGGAAATCCATGTAATTTCATATCCAGGAGGATCCTCGGATCCTCCAATCACACCGTTCATCGTATATCGTGCGGTTAAAAATTATTGTAAATTTTTTTATTTAAAATTGAATATAAACAATTCCTAACAAAAACTGACTGTACGATGTATGATAAACGGATGTGATTGAAGGATCTGACGGGATCCTCTCTCATTTCATATGCTAAGAAAGTAAGAAGATTTGGGTAAAGGTTGTGGACTAATAAGGTGTTTTTACAGACAATTGCAGGAGCAGTGGGTGACTGGTACTTCAGCAGAAGGGTAACAAAGGAAATTGACTGCCCATATCCTTGTGACACTACTTGCCATAACCTCATCCCATCAGCTCAGGTACCAGTCTTGTGTGATTTTCGGGGAGTAATTGTGGAGAGATTCTTATATACAATCGGGATATATCTCTTGTTAGTATCTTTCTTCGCGTGATTGGAAAGTTACTGACATGTATATTGCACTCAAGACTTTTCCGTATTTTTGTTTTTCATTAATTCCATTGAACTGACCTTAAAAAAATTATTACAGGCCGCTTTAGAAGATACAAAAAGCTAATAACTAGGCCAACATTTTCAAGGAGAGGCAGGAATACAAGTACACAAAGTGATACGGCATATAGCTTAGTAGAAAATAGGAAAAAAAACAAACAAAAGCATGTATTCTTTTATTGCAATTCGATTTAATTCATCAATAAATTAGAAATTCATTTATTTTTATTTTTGTTCAAATGGATGCCTGTGGAATGTTGAGTGTTCCTGTTATTTTCAATCCCTTTTTTCTATGGAAAAAAATTGACTTCCAGTTCAACATTATCTGACCCAAGATTCTTATCGGGTTTGAACAATATCTGACCCAAAATTCTTATTGCTAAGTAAACAGGCCTTTTAAAATTGAAGCCCAAAGAAAATCACCCTTAATGGAGTATCTGGTTAGAATTAGGATAGTTTCAATGTTTGATTCTCTCCAATTAGTCACGAATACAAATAGTTCTTTGTGTATCCTACTCAATTTCAAGGAAACTCTCCTTCTTACGCCTCATTATTTTTTAGGGTTAGATCATTGACCGTTTATTCAACTCTCTGTCCATCGACTATGTTATACACTGAAACATAATAATTTTTTTTATTTGTTTACACATATAACTTTTAAAACTCAATAACTTGCCATTTGGTATAAATTACAAGTCCTTGATCCCAAAACATTTTTTTAAGACGAAAAGATAGCGATTTCGTTATTATTTTAAGAATTAACACTAATATTAATGAGGATATTCGAGATAACATTCAAGAAGACCTTAATAAAAAAAACTTTAACAAAACATAAAAGGCCAACTCAGCCAAACTCGACCAAACTAGCACCAAATTATAATCAAGCTGGATTAGACTCTCAAACCAAAATACCTTTGCATACATGCATTGAAAAAACATATGACACTAGGACGCTTCCGTAACACCATAGTTACGACAAGATGTGTCAAGTCGTATTCCTTTTCGCCAATGATTTGCCCTAACTGCCCACACATTCTTACAGCATCACAAAGTGGCGCAACTTCCGGTGAACATCAATATTCCAAGATAATGGACCACACTTTATTCGATTCGTTATTACCTTTCCTCCCTAACTCCCCATTGCGACTAAGATCCTGCGCTACTTTGTAACCAGACTTGATGGAATAAATTCCTTTCTTCCTATTGGGCCACATTAATTTAGAACTTGTATCCTATTGGGCCACATTAATTTAGAACTTGTATTGTATGAATGTTCTTTTAAAATAATTGAAAGTGTTTTTAGTGAAAATATTCTTAGAACTAATCTTTAGAAAGATGCAAGTACATCTTGGAAAATTACTTAAATGCTTATTGAAAAAAGAACATAATTTATGTTTTTTGCATAAAGCATTTAAGTGATTTTGGAATCCAAAAATATTTTCTCTAAAAACGTTTTCAGTCATTTTAAAAGTACATTCAAACGATCCTTTATCTTCAACCCAAACTTGCTTAGCGGCACATGGAAAGAGATCCTCTTCGGATCTCTTCCTCCTAATCCACTAAGTCTAGAGATCCAGATAATTGAAATTTGATCTAACGGTCACAAACAAAAATTCACGTTAAAAGTTATAATAACCCACTTTAAAAATTATTAAACTTTAACCGTTGAATTAAATTTTAATAATTCGTATCTTCAAACGTAAATTAAGAGGAACGGATCCGGAGAGAATCACTTTCCAGCTGCACACTCCTAATTTCTCGTGCTTCATCAACTTCAAAGCATCTATCAATGGTATCTTTTGTCCGTCCTCCCTTACGTCAAAATTATCAGGTTCTCCTTACTTCAAAATTACTTTTTTAGTAGAAAATTAATTTCACCGGATTCCTTGAGTATAGTTTACTTCGAGGGCCTCGTCGGTATTTCACATACACAAACGGGAAGCTCCCGTCCATCATTGGCAATCCATGCAAGGGCCAATCAAGTAATTTCACGCACACGATAACCTCGCCACCCGTTCCCCATCCAACAAAATCTTCTAATCCAAGAAAAGGTAGAGAAAACTTCTACCAGCCGTCTCCATACCCCCGCATTCCACCGGCACATCACCACCGGCCAGCAGTGCGAAATTACCAAACCACCCTTCTTCATCGATTTTAAGAATTAGAATAAAACGATGCAAAACCCAGTGGTTCTGTTCAAATTGCCGCATTTGCCCTCGTCACGACCTTCATATCACTCGCCATTTTTCTCACTCATCATTAGACACAAAAAGCTAAGCAAAGCGAGAAGACCGAGAGAGAGAGACTGGAGTGGCAGTGGCAATAGCAGGAGCAGAAGTTGCAGTGGTGGTGGGGTCTGGGCAATGCCTTGCTCTGCAATCGGCGGTGCTGGCGGAGGCGGTGGCGACGGTAATGGTGCTCTGACCAATTTCAAGCTCAACGAGTCCACGTTCTTGGCCTCCCTTATGCCGAAGAAAGAAATTGGCGTCGATCGATTCATCGATGCGCATCCCAACTACGACGGCCGCGGCGCCCTTATCGCTGTCTTCGGTAACTTAATCACTTCAATCGCTTAATTTCTGTTTGGGAGAAAACAAAACGAAGAAAGAAAATTGTAGGAAGGAGATTTGCTCTAATTCTAAACGTATATGTTATGTTTGATTCCTCTAATATGAAACAAAACGTGTGATTATAGCTGTGATTAGGCGTGATTAAGAAAATTAGTTTATCGAGTATCGGATTGATTTTCTGAGCTGAGGAAATTAAGCTGTTGAACTGAAACTTTGAATCAGATTCTGGAGTGGATCCAGCTGCTTCTGGATTACAAGTTACATCTGATGGAAAGCCGAAAGTCCTAGATGTTCTTGATTGGTAACTGTAATTAAACTAATTTATTTGAGCATTGAATTGGTATTACTAGAACCTTTGATTTAATCTGATAACTCCTGTTTTTATCAGCACCGGGAGTGGCGATGTTGATACTTCGAAGGTAGTCAAGGCCGATGAAAACGGCTGTATTCGTGGAGCTTCAGGTTAGTTTTTTGATCTATTTGTGTGTATGCATGTATGTACTTCTCTTTTTATTATCGTTTAGAATTCCTGCATCTTCCTTGAGATACTTTTGGTTGACCGGAATTTTTAGAGCCATCTTTAGCATAAACAAGATATCTAATTGTAAGTTAACCTCTGTTTTAAAAATGCCGTGCTTGGGTTTTAATGCAAAGTTTAATACAGGAGCATCTCTGTTTGTCGACTCTTCATGGAAAAATCCTTCTGGTGAATGGCATGTGGGCTATAAGTTGGTATATGAGCTATTTACCGATACATTGACTTCTCGCTTGAAGGTAAGCGTTATGACCCATTGATTAGTTGATTCAAATTTTATTTGTAGTCTCTATCATCACTTCAGATAATAATGGACAAATTTTCCCTCTTTTGCTTTTATGTTTTCACTGATAGAAAGAAAGAAGGAAGAAATGGGATGAACAAAACCAAGAAGAAATTGCCAAGGCTGTTAAACATCTTCAAGAATTTGATCAGGTTTTTGAATATGCTGCTTCTTAATTTCTTTACTGGGAGCAAATATTACTTATGTACTCCATCCTGTGTTGTTAATTTGGTTGTAAGCATACCTTAAACTCAACTGAAAGTGTTAATTAAATGAAAACTGTTATTTTTTTCAATTGCAAATAAGCTTAATATTCACTTCCTCTTTGGCATTATTGTCTACCTGGGTTGCACATTATGCACTTTTACTATTCTGAGGATTAGCTTATTTTGGATGTAAATGGTTTTCTTTTCACTGGGAAATGGCTTCCGAGTCTATTAGTTTTTATACCTTCTTGTTCAAATAAGTTCATTGTAATACTGTACCTGTATAGAAAGGGATGGATTCAACTGCTATCAGTCTGTCATTCGAAATGTACATCCGTTAACGTTGGAAAGCGTCTCTGACATAATTCACCATAATCTCATCAATTCTGTGCAAAGCTTTCCATCTGCTTCCCTCAAAATACAGTATTAGCAGAAGTAGTCTCCTGCAATATGCTTGGATTATGTTGCTCCTAAATATGTAAGTTACTATGTTACCATTTTCAGAAACACAGTAGAGTGGATGACGTTAACTTGAAAAGAGCTAGGGAAGACCTGCAAAATAGAGTTGATTACCTACAAAATCAAGCTGATGTGAGTGAAAAATATATATTTATTTAAAAAAATTTAATTCCTATGCAAGTCTTAATGGTATTTTTTGTCTTCTAGAGCTATGATGACAAAGGTCCTGTCATAGATGCCGTTGTATGGCATGATGGAGAAGTATGGAGGGTTGCCCTTGACACACAAACTCTTGAGGATAACCCAGATTGTGGAAAACTTGCAAACTTTGTGCCCCTAACTAATTATAGGTATGGTTGCGTTGGTTTATTGGAAGTTTTGTTAGAAAGTTGAGACAAAGAAACTTATTGTAATAAAATATCCTAATTTTCTCGAGACCACATTATTCATCTGATTCCGAGTTGCAAACTTATTTGTCTTTGTTGTTTTAGTTTCCAGTACAGTGGCCATGATAATGGATTGATTCTATAGAATTTATAGTTAATTACTTGTATAAACTTTTTTACAGGATAGAACGAAAATATGGTGTTTTTAGCAAATTAGATGCCTGTACATTTGTTGCTAATGTATACGATGAAGGGAATATCCTTAGTATTGTGACAGATAGCTCTCCACATGGCACTCATGTTGCTGGTATTGCTACTGCTTTCCACCCGAAGGTACTATTATGCAGGCTTAAACATTTACTGCACTTTTTTTCAAGCTAGGATAATATACTTATGATACATGTGGTGTTCTTAGGAACCCCTGTTGAATGGAGTTGCACCTGGAGCACAAATAATATCTTGTAAGATTGGAGACTCGCGTTTAGGTTCAATGGAGACTGGAACTGGCTTGACTCGAGCCTTGATTGCTGCTGTGGAGGTGCTTTTAAATTCTATTATTTTCTAATATTTCTGATAATCAACAATTTTAGTTTGCCCAAGTCTTGTTTAGGATTCAGCATTGTGATACTAGTACTCCACTGCCTTGTATAGATGATTATAATGATGGCTTTTACAATGTTTGTGCAGCATAAATGTGATTTGATCAACATGAGTTATGGAGAACCTACACTGCTGCCAGACTATGGGCGTTTTGTTGACCTTGTTGATGAAGTATTATTTCTAAATTGGCAAC